ATTTAAACTGCAACTTGTTGATAATTCATGTTTATAAATTTGTAGAGGATTTAAGCTAAATATATTTTAAAATTAAAAAAAAAACAACAACAATGTATTAACAAATCTTACTGATAGACTACGAGATTTCAGTAAAAGTTACTTTCTACTATGACCAAGTTACTTTATCATATAATAATAAATAATACGAAGATTCTATATATTTATTTACTATTATTCGAACACATAAATAGTGGTACAAAAGTGAACTGAATACATATGCACCACACAAGTCACTTGATTTGTGTGTGGGCTATGAAACTGTCCAGATACCCAGAGCAAAGCAGGTACATTTCTTATGGGGTCACACCCAGAGCCTTCGACCTAATGGTCTAATCCGCAAGGTAGTGGAACAACGTAAGGATAAGCAGTCCTGCGGTAGCCGGTGACCAATAATTGGTTGGTACGCCATTTGCTTCCTCAGGATACTGGAGCCCATGTGCACCATTGGTTCGGAATCAAGATTTTCCAACTCATCTTAGTAAATCCTGCATATTTACCGATCCGGTTAAAGCGTTGTACATTCGCTATGCATTTCGTGAACAACATCCCTGCCACGAGAAGCCAATGATGTAGGACTTCCCTAATAGTGGTTGTATGCACGTGGCTATATGTGAGAGCATTTTGAGAGGGAGAGCTAACTCTCCCTACCCTCGGCTGTACCAGGGCATTTAAGGACAATATTCTATGCTTAACTCATGAACTACCGTTGAAACAACGTAATGTTAAATTTTTGGGGATAATTAGTTATGTGCAATATAATTTAAGTAATAATAAGATAAGAAAATTGAAAGTAATGCTTTACATTAAAAATCTACTTTATCCAGAAAATACCTAAATACGAGTTAAATTTTAATTTTTGAACTACTATAGACCGTTCGTTTTTGCAGGTAATAAAGGATTATAAGATTTATATTACCCTAGAAAACCAGTGACGACATATTTGATCATGGGTGTCTTCAAAACATTGCTCGTATTTCCTGGGACCACCGAGTAAGCAACTCAGTTGTTAGAAAACGGGTACTAAGCAAGGATGGCAAATCAATTGATGATGTAGTGAAACTTAATCAGTTAAAATGGCTGGGACATGTATTACGCTTGCCCGACCACCGACTGCCACGACGTGCGATGTCCAATGATATAGGAGTAGGTTAGAAGAAAGCTAGGGGCCGCCAGAATAAATCGTGTCACAAATCCATTAAGTCACTGACAAGTGGACTGAGCCATGTTGGTAGGTGTAGACTACCTGGTTGGGGACCGCGAGATGATAGCAACCGATGATTAGAGACCTTGAATGACATGGCTGAAAATCGTTCGCAATGGCGCAGGCGCATCCATTCTCTGTGTTCTTTCAAACTCTAATCTTCCTCTTTCCGAATTTATTTCATTGGATTATACTCCTTGAATAACATCTTCAAACCCTAATCTTTCCGATTACCGCTTATACTCTTACTACTTCTACCACTACATGATTTGAACCGACATCTGCATCTCTGTGCTAATGTGGTATGACAACTGGAACTGATGTACGTACGTATGTACGAAGTTCCACGTTGTTACTGACTGATCATGAGTGGACTTTAGTTATACATCTAGCATATTATTGATAGTTCCACTTAGATTGACAGAAAAATGTGACTACTAAAGTTAAGTGTATGTAGTGAGACTGTCTTAAAAATTACAATGGTGAAATAATTGATATTAATTTATGATCATGACTACTGGTAGACTAACATTAATAAAGTATATAACGTTCCATTCAAACACTAATAATCAAAGTGCTAAGTGTAATCAATTGAGAAACAATATGCAAAAGCATATCTTGTATAGTGAAACAAAAAAATAAGTTCATGAAAATCAACTTACTTAGTAAGATTCAATGGTGAGAAAGTGAATGTTTTAAACAATTTGTTTCCCAAATTGAAATTTGTATATAACCGTACAGAATTAATAAAATGATTACAGAGATTCATTTGAATACCTAAAATTTAATAATTTATTGAGAATGAATCAGTTCTTGAGTTTGCGATGATGTAAACAGTCAATAGATAGACAAAGTTCTGATACCTAGTCATTAGTATGATGTGAGCTACTTATATCCACATAAGTAGTACATAACAATAGTCAGAAATAGAATATATATCAGTGGATGATAATATTACTGATAATAAACTTGTTATACATGGTGACAATGAGGTTAAATAAACAAAGGTAAGACGTCTTGTAATATAGTATGTTCAAATATATTCGATTGTACCCATTCGTGTTCTTCTTCACTAAATTAGGATTAAGTGAGAGATGATAATTCTTATGATGGTAAATGTTGGGATATTCAAAAAAATATCCCCAAAATTACCCTGTTAAGTCTAATGCTATTCTTGAGCGTGAAATAGTGTCATTTTCCTATTGGTCAATATTTATTTCACGTGTCATTTTGCTGTTGGTCAATATTCACGGTCCTCCTAACTATATAAATATACATTTGTCTATAAATTCTCATTCTTCTTATTCTCCTGACCCCATAAACAATTTTCACCTAACGGTTCGTGTTCTGATATATTGGAGACTGGGGAACAGTACTGGGATATCTGCAGTTGGTCATCGGTAGAATTTAGAGTAGCCACCACGCGGTCCACAATAGTAAAAACGTTACATATGTATGTTATGATTAGTTGCATAATTGAAAATGTGACCATTTGAAAGTAATCCTCTGAGGATGCGATAACATACATACACACTTGGATTGTGATATTTTAACATTGTAATCTATTATTTGACTCAATAATTGTTGACATGTAATTTTCTGTTTATTAAGTACTGGTAATTAATTATAAACATATTAGTTCAGTTGTGTACCATAAGTACCCCAGTTATGTACATGATAGTAATTAAGTCTTCCTTTTTTGTGTATAATCAGATGATTTTTAAAGTTTGATTAAATTAAATGATTTGGGAGAGAATCTAATTAGTGCTATAATGAAATGTGTAGTATATTCACTAACTGTTCTACCGAATATAGTTGGGATGAGGGAAGAAAATTCATAAGAGTATGGTACATAGTTTATCCATTATATCAATACCGACCTACAACCCCACCAGATTAAAATGTTAGACATACATATGAGACTTAATCATTGTTAATATAACGAATAGATTAATCGATAGTAAACAGCTCTAATAATAAAAATATCACAGCATAAGCTTTCCAAAAATAGATATTTTACAAACTCAAAAATTGGCGAACTAACGAAATCATAACATTCTGTGAAAAACATGATGTTAGATAAAGCTGTACTATACCATAGAACGACCATGAGATCTTACCACTTCCAGTCAATCAGGAGACAGTAGAGATAAATAAATAATTTATTATGGTATGATGCAAGGTTAGGATTCTTGAACTGTAGGCAATGTCAGTTCGAAATGAAAGTCTTAACACTAACCCTTGATTCTATTTTAAAACAAGGTTTTTTTTTACCTAGCCACTAAAAATCTATCCTTATTAGCCTATATTTCACTTTTGAATGCCTCTCAAAAACTGAGAGCTGGTAAACTGTCATTCAGTCATTGTCCGAATACGAATGCAGTGGACGTGTTTCTATGTTATTAGGGACAATCTGGCCAATTTATTACTAGAAAGTGAAATTAACAATAACGAAAAGACCAAGGGCCACACACATTGTTGCGTAGACAGAAGTATGGTTTAATTTTTTTCTAGTTATCTTTTTCCAGCAAGGTTGTTTTCTTCCTTTCCTTTCCTCCTTAACCCAAACTTGAAACCTCCAAAAGCCTTAGAAGTACAAAAGGGGAAAAGTAAGAAACTGAAATACAATGCAGGGAACACTAACGCAATCACACTTGACGAAAAAAGCTCTGGTAGAGGTGGAAAGTTTTACATTCCTGAACAAGATCATCGATAAAATAAGAGGATGTGAGGCAGATGTAAAGACAAGGATTAGAAAAGAAAGGACAGCATTTCTACTTTTGAAGAATATATGGAACTCAAAACAACTTTCAACCAACATTCAAGTCAGAATCTTCAATGAGGATGTCAAGACAGTTGAGTTGTCTTAATGAGCGGTAGAAAAGTTCCTGGCTAACAATCTAATATAGAAAGTGTAAACCATATGTGTAATAAAATCGTTAATAGTTCGTTCAGAGCAAACTAGTGTCATTAGTCTTCAAAAGTAATAAAACATTATTTTCAGAATGTGGGTTTGTGAAGACTGTATTAATTTAATAGTTGAATTAATGAATCCATTTAGGCTAGACCGCTTTGGAAAACCTGGAAGCACTGGACAGCCGTTTCATTCTAGTATGGGACTACTTAGTAATGTGCGAAGGTCCTGGGTATTTATTATTATTTTATTTGAACACATAGATATTGGTACAAGGAGGCACCAAATATATATGCCCCACACACATCTCATTTGAGATGTGTGAGGGCTGTCATAGTGCCCGGGTGCACAAACTGAAGCTGGGTCTAAGCCCCCCCCCCCATGCAGAATCATGAATACACACTGCTAAGGAGTCTCGTACTAGAACACAGGTAGCAGTCTAATGTAAGCATCTTCACATTAAGTTCTTTGTAAATGTCTCAACTAACTTTAATTATAAATAGCATAATTCAAACAAATCTGTAACAGACGCATACCTAAACATGCAACAACAAGAAATTGAAAACTGAATTTCTGTTCAGAACTTATATTTGATTTAATCCTTACAAATAAAAATACCCCCCAAAAAGATTCTAATTACATTTTATGTATAAACTAAGTCACATTATGAATAAATATGTGATAATGTTCTATACATGCAAGTATATGTTATATACAGTTAAACAGAAAGGTAATAACCATATCAAAATTATTGAAGCTACTCAATTCTGTGTTAGTGTAATTATAAACACGTCATGTAATATGTTACATATGAATAAAGATACAAAAGAAAAATGCAGAAGTTCAAATAGCTACATGACATTTAGGTAATAAATTAAGTAACCGATTTTGTTGTATATCAGATGAACTTGTAGTATATGCTAAATCCAATATTTGTGGTATAATTTTTGTTTGTATAGTTGTCTTATCAACACTATTTAGAGAGATACGATGGAATAAACCATTCTTTTTAGCATCTTCTATTATTTGACGACGATTTTTTATATACAATGGATCATAATGATGTCGAAGTAAACCTGTTACAAAACTGGTGAAATCTTCACGATGAACCATTTCAGTCCACTGATTAATCAATTTATCTGGTATATATTCATTTAAACTATTTATAATAAAAAAGGGAAACTAAATAAAGTAAAACATAAATAAGACAAATACAAATGAATAGGTAATCATGAGACAACTAAAGCCATTAATGTAATCCAACTAAGAAAAGATGAAAGTATATAAAGAGCAAGATATCACAAGCCTTGTAGATTCAAAGTACAACGAGACATTGTCCTAGAAACAAACTATGCTAATCATCACCAACATAAACCTGACACAGACTTGCATCAAAATATATCACATTAAAAAACAAGATAAAATTAGCGACAAGAAAGGCAGAAATAATATTTTGTCAAGCATGAAAACGAAGACTGGAAATCGACGATATGATTTGAAAAGAGATAGGAAGCAATGTATGTGATGGAACATTAGAGTTCATAAACAAAACAGTCAGTCGGTCTGTTACAACGTAGAACCTGTTACATATGTACATCGGTTCAAGTTGCCATAAACCAGTAGCACGACTAGATGAAATTTTCACGTCAAATCACACGATAGTAGAGATAGTAATAGTGACACTGACAATACGAAGGATTGAGCATCGAAAATACCATTTGAGAAAATATAAATTAGTAAAATAAGAAAATTGTGAGGGATTTATGAAGTCAGCATTTGCGAAAAGAATAAAAATGGATGTGCCTGAGACATTAAAAACAATTTTACACCACGACATTCAAAGTCTCTAACCATTGATTAAGATAATCACATGGAGCGCAATCAGACAATCTAAACCCAGTCCGATTGTCAATGACTTCATGGACTGGTCTAACGGCTTGGTGTGGTCTCTAGCTACTCCTAAATCAGACGAAATCGACCATCGAGTTAGGCACTAATTGGGCAAACATGACACATTATCTAACCACCACAGCTATTTTCAATCATAATCATAGTAGAACCTGGCACAAATCTATATCGACCGAAGTTGTCATAGCACATCACAGCGAGATGGAAATGATTTATTTTTTTCATTATTATTAGTGGCTTTATTCAATATTATACTTTTGTTACAATATAGAATTCTCAGCACAAAGCATTTCAACAAGTTTCCCTTTCTTATTTCTTGATCAGTTCCTTGCGATAAATATCGAGTGGTCACCAGTTAGATGTTGGATGCTCAGGAATCGACATCTGATAAATGTATATCCTTTTCGATGCATATTGCCAGTAACCATGATGTCTTTGATTGAGCTCTTTTGTAACTTGTACAGAGAAATGTCGTAAACGTTTCACAAACGCACCTGAATAGGTTATGAGACTAATAGGCATAGTGATGTGTTGAAACAAAAAAAACAGATAACTTGTTGAAATACCCAGATGGTAGGGACAGGTAACCCAGATATTTAAGCAGGCCGCCTAGATAAACAGTACTAATCTCACAATAATATTAGTATCAATGACATTAAAGATTATCAATCAACGTTAGGAAATGAATTCGTGGAATAAAACATGAGAAACTATACACAGACCAAAAACTAAGTGATGCAAGTTGGCAAAAGCCAGTCGAACTTCTCGAATCTATGCTGAGATTTCGTTAGACAAGAGCCAATCAGAACTGATGAGACTCCTAAGATAAGAGAAACAATAGACGCACTCAACTACTTCGTACTTGTTACTAATTGGACGCTGATGCAGACCAATCCCGAAGAATATTTTCTATCTAGAGAAAGAAACACATCCCAAACATGCGCTCAGAAAATTATCAATTTTGTCAGTGCCTTCACCAAACAGAACTATATCAGCTGTGTATACTAAGAAAACAAGAGAATATCTATGTGGAAGATCAATCCGTGAAAAGTCAGATAATGAATGTATTATTTTTAAAAGTATATCCATGACAAAGTTAAATTTATTTATTTTAACACATAGATATTGGTACAAGGAAGCACCAAATACATATGCGCCACACGAATCTCAACTGATTTGTGTGAGGGTTGTGATACTGCCCGGGTGCCCAAACCGAAGCATGTGGTTTTCTTAGGGGGCCACACCCCGAGCCTTTAACCTGAACGTCTGACCCACAAGGCAGTGGAGCATCGTGAGGAGATGCAGTCCCATGGTAGCCAGTGACCAACGATTGGTTCATACGCCATTTGTTCCATCAGGATACTGGAGCCCATGTGCACCATTGGTTTGAGATCCGGTTAAAGCGCCGGACATTCGCTTTTCGTCCTCTCATTTTCGTAAACAACACCTGTGGTGCGAGAAGGCAGTGAGTAGGACTTTCCTTGCAGAGGCTATATATGCGTGGCCATGTGAGAGCATTTCGAGAAGGAGAGCGGACTCTCCCCACTCTCGGCCGTACCAGGGCATTTGGGGGCGACAAAGTTAAATAAAAATGGGGAAAGCGGATAACTGTGACAACCATTACTTGAAATTGGAAATTCTGATGAGTTGAACATAAGCTTTAACTCGACCACCAGCGTTCAAGTGAAGAGGCTGTACAAGGTTAATGTAGTCTTTGGTATGCTTTCAAATGAGGGAACAGAATTTATATTCAGGTATCGAAAAGTATGAGCTAAATGACATTAGTCAGCAAGGCGCACTTGCGATCCTGAATAAATTACTGTTTACTACTGGATACCAATCCGATTTATTCAGCATCGCAGTCTGAAATGTTACCACTCAGATTTTTTGCAGATACCGATATTCGATTTGACAGATATTTACCAACTACCTCCAGTCAACTACCCCCAAATGCTATGGTATGGCCGAGAGCTGGGAGGGTTCACCCTCCCTCTCGAAATACTCTCACACGGCCACGCGTATACAGCCTCTGCCAAGGAAGTCCTACTCACTGCCTTCACGTGGCGGGGGTGTTGTTTACGAAAATGAGAGGACGAAAAGCGAATGTCCGGCGCTTTAACCGGATCAAAAACCAATGGTGCACATGGGCTGGCTCCAGTATCCTGAAGGAACAAATGGCGTATGAACCAACTTTTGGTCACCGGCTTCCATGGGACTGCATCTCCTCACGATGCTCCACTGCCTTGTGGACTAGACCTTTAGGTCAAAGGCTCGGGGTGTGGCCCCCTAAGAAAACCACATGCTTCGGTTTGGGCACCCGGGCAGTATCTCAGCCCACACACTAAAACCATGATGAACTATCTGCTTATGGAAAATATTCGTTTCTCTCCGACTAACATTGAAATGACTGGTATTATTATTATTATCATTATTATTATTATTATTATTATTATTATTATTATTATTATTATTATTATTATTATTATTTACTACGTCATTTATTCACTATCTCCTATTTCTACTTTTTGTATCCGTTTCGACTCAGACAGCAGCTCGCCTATGGTAAAAATTCAGCTTTATCTAAACGTTCTCGAGTCACTGCCTGGTTGAAAATTGTATGTTACTACCGAATATGAGTACTGAAGCAGTTTTTCTGAAACCACGTGCATCATTCAAACTGGCTGCCTTCAACGCTCGCACACTTATGCAGGTCGGACAACAGATAGGGCTGGCTATGTCTTTGGAAAGTCTTAATATTGATGTGTGTTGTCTATCCAACACCCGTATTCAAGACTCTGGTGAAGTACTACAAGTTCGCTCTCCATCTGTCGCTTCAAAAAGCTTGTTTTATGTGCGTTTATACGGGGACCTTGTGGCATCTTCGTATAGTCTTGCTGGCGTTGTTGTCGCACTAGGCGCTAGGGCTGAGGCAGCACTAATCGATTGGATCCCCGTTAACAGTCGGTTATGTGCTGTTAGATTAGAAAGTTCCATCAAAGTGAAAAGAAATAGGCGTGAGAAACGATGTCTTTTCGTCATCTCCGCCTATGCCCCGACACATTACAGCCCGGATGCAATCAAGTACGAGTTCTACCATCAGCTAACTGTTCTTCTCCAGAAAGTGCGTTCGACAGATATCGTAGTACTAGCTGGAGACTTGAATGCTCAGGTCGGGCGTCTAGGCACAGAAGAGAGTCGTTTAGGTGGCCGGTGGGGACTCGTTGGTCGCAGGACAGATAACGGGGAACGTCTACTGCAACTATGCACAGACCACAACCTGTTTCTGGCTAGCACTAACTTTCGGCACAGTCATCGCCGATGTGCCACCTGGCGTCCTCCTTCTGCATCTCAAGCCTGGACTCAGATTGATCACATCGCGATCAGCTACCGCTGGCGTGGTTGTGTACAAGACTGCCGCTCCTTTTGAAGTACCTATCTGGAATCTGATCATGCTCTGGTCTGCGCCAATCTTACCTTACTTTTCAGTGGACAACGAAGTGACCGCCACCAAAGGATTGACGTTAGCAAGCTGGTTGCAACTTCTGTTGCTAGTATGTACCGAACCGAACTTGCTTCTAGACTAGCTACCATTCCACCGAAAAGTATAGGTGAGCATTGGTTGCAATTGCATGACGCCATGAAAATGGCGGGTACAGTCTGTTGTGGGTTTGCGAAACGTCCCGCTTACAAGCACTGGGTTTCTTCTGGTTCCTTACAACTGATTGAAGCCCGTCGGTCTATTCAGGATGACCGTGAGTTTGACCACAGATGAAGGATGTTACGTAATGAAATCGGGCAAAGCTTGCGTAAGGACCGAGAAGTCTGGTGGTCGGAGCGTGCCAGTGAGTTGGAAGCAGCAGCTGCATCTGGTAATTACCGGAAGCTCTTCCAACTCATCCGAGCCACTGGCAGCAAGAAGTTTGGTGTGAGCGAAACAATCTGCGAGGATGACGGAACGCCAATCACTAACATCCATCGACGTCTTGGACGATGGGCAGAATTCTTTGAAGGGCAGTTCAACTGGCCTGCTGCTCCGGCAACATCGGTCAGACTGTGACTTTCTGACTAAGGGACTGACGACGTTGTTTACAAAGATCTGGGAACTAGAGAGTGTACCAACGTCATGGAATGAGTCGATAGTTGTCCCTATCTTTAAAAAGGGTTCACGTTGTTCCTGTAACAACTATCGGGGGATAAGTCTACTTCCGATTGCGTCCAAGCTATTGGCTTCCGTCATACTTCGTAGGTTGTTCAGAACCCGAGAAGGATTGACTCGCGAGGAGCAGGTTGGGTTTCGTTCTGGTCGAGGATGTATTGATCATATCTTCACCCTCCGCCAAGTGTTAGAACACCGTCATACTTATCAAAGGCCAACAATCGTAGTGTTTCATGATATCAGGGCTGCTTTCGATTCGTTGGATAGGACTGTTCTCTGGGATTGTCTATTGAAGAGGGGTGTGCCTGAGAAGTTTATCAACATCCTAAAAGCCCTATACACAAATACCTCAGGCAGAGTGAGGGCATACAACCACCTTTCTCCACTATTCCATTCAAGCAGTGGAGTTAGGCAGGGTTGACCAATCTCACCATTCCTCTTCAACTTTGCCATCGATGACATTCTGGAAACAGCTCTGACGGATGTAAGTAATAGTGGTGTGGATCTGTTGCCTGGAGAAAGACTTCTCGACCTTGAGTATGCGGATGATATTGTCTTACTGTGCGAGAATGCCCAAGCCATGCAATCCGCACTTAATCAGTTGGCAATCAATGTCCGTAGGTATGGTATGTGCTTTGCACCTTCGAAGTGCAAAGTTCTTCTACAAGACTGGCAGGATTCTAATCCTGTACTCACTCTGGATGGTGAGCAGATAGAAGTAGTCGAGAAGTTCGTGTATCTAGGTAGCTGCATAAGTGCTGGTGGTGGTGAGTGATGAGATCAATGCACGTATAGTGAAAGCCAGAGCGGCTTATGCCAATCTGGGCCACCTTTGGCGCCTTCGTGATGTTAGTCTGGCTGTAAAAAGTCGGATCTACAACGCGACGGTGAGAGCAGTTTTGCTCTATGCTTGTGAAACCTGGCCTCTCCGAGTTGAGGATGTTAGACGACTCTCTGTGTTCGATCATCGTTGTCTCCGAAGGATTGCTGGCATCCAGTGGCAACACCATGTCAGTAATGCAGAGGTTCGGCATCGAGTGTTCGGTCACAGAGACGATAATGAAATTGGTGTCACCATCTTGAAACACCGACTTCGGTGGCTTGGACATGTTCTACGAATGCCGTCCCAGAGAATTCCTCGTCGTGCATTATTTGCCGACTCTGGGACTGGTTGGAAAAAGCGGAGAGGCGGTCAGTATATGACATGGTGTCGTGGTATGAAAGAAAGCTGCAAAGGGCTAGCTTCTGTTGGTCCTTCATGACTCCCTGGTTGGGGTCCGAGAGACGGTGTAACGCAGTGTCTAGAGACGTTATCAGATATGGCTCAGAATAGAAGCCAGTGGCGATCCTGCTGTAACCTTCTTTTACTTTCTTCATAAAAAGTGGTTGTATCTTCCTTAACTGAAAGATCTCTTCTGATTGTACCTTTCCGTTTTCCCCATCATTGTTCTCTCTTTTTTTTATAATTCCCCACGTTCATTACTTTTTTTTTCTCTTTTCTCCTTCTCTTCAAATTATCATTGTTTTGTGTGGCGCATATATATTTGGTGCCCCCCTGTACCAATATTTATGTGTTCAAATAAATAAATAAAATAAATAGTCAACTACCTACCTACGTACCATAAAAAATAAACAAGGAAATTTTAAATCATTTAGACCAGATTGACTAGCACTGAGGACTATACAAATATGATACTAGTCACTACTCAGTAATCAATAGATGTACTTAACTGAATGATTTTCACTATTGATTATCAAGACTTCTACTCTACACATAGTAGAACTATATTCGGGCTATTCAACTGAGTTAATCTATAAAAAAAACTGAGGACTAAAACAAAGTCGATGGAAAAAATGTATATGTGTAAATTATGATGATAAGTTGGATCATTCGTGTTACAACCGATCGATCACTAAGTAGTGAAGAATTTCTCGTTTACTTTTTATTGCTAAACATATTCTATAAAAAATGTAGTAATCTGTCTGGTAGTTCAAGTAAATCAACATTACATGTATTATGATAAGATGTTAAATGATTGCAAATCATCAACAAGAAAACTTGAATTAATTTTTACTCTATACAATCAATACTCACTTTTTGAGAATAGCTAAAACTTGTGGAACATTCCGAGTAGCGGCAGAATAATTTTCTAAAATCCAAGCAACTCTTGCTTCTTCTGTAATATCAATCCATAATCGATGGGTCCCAACGTTTGGATCTGTAGATCTTAATCGTGACCATAAACCATCAGGTAACCCACAAACTGGTCCAATATGCCGTGATTCACATTCAATCCATAAAATATTTTTGCAGGATGATAGTCGATGCTTATTTGTCATCATTACATGATGGAGTTGAGATTCAAAAAACTTTTGTAGACTCCCTTTAATGGTAGTGCTTTGGTGATCGCTAGTGTTACTATCTGATAATACACTACCACCACCAAACATTGAACCTTTATGTTTAGCTAAAGCTTCTAAATCGAAAACGGTTTCACCATAATCGTGTAACTCTTGAAGTATTAAAGATTTCCCGGAACCTTTTATGTGATCAAAAAGCAAAGAAAGAAATGGAAAAAAAAATGAAAACTCTCATATACATAGTTTCTTGTACTAGCTTAAAGAGATCAAGGATAAAACTTTAAGTAGAATAACACGAATCCTTTTTATGTTGTTAGTTTCTTGTCAAATTACGCCTGGAGCCATTCTAGGGTTACTCCCAATCCCATAAAAGCGACCTTGGTGAAAATACGCCAACCAGAAAAAATATTTCGAAATCTACCTTAGGAGTAAAAAGGTCTTCATTTAGACGCGTTATAACGCCTCATGATGAAAACCAAAATAGTTCATAAGTCACGAGGTCAGAACCCCTTCTGAAAGCAAGAACAACACAACTAATTAACAAGGTGGTTTTCTTGAGGTTCGTTCATTTACCAACAAAATCGCGGTACTGTGGATCATTGTCGAGCAATCACTTCAATGAGACTCATCACTATACATCAACTTCCTCGATTGCAAGAAAGTGTTCGACAAAGTGGATAGAACTTTGTAAAATCTTTTTCGACGCTGTGGTATCTGTGAAAATATCTTTACTCTTATAAAGAACTCCTAAGATGGATGGAATTACAAAGTCATGGATGGGGGGATTGCATGTAAATGCAATCCAAGTGAAGACTGGTGTCCGATAAAATTGCCTACTGTCTTGGTAGACGTTGGCTAGGTTATGAAGAATTCTAAATTTCAGAAGTATGGAGTACACTGGACAGCTTAGATGGAACCAAACGATTTTACGAATAACCTAACCCTTCTATTCCATACACAACAAAAAATGAAGATGAAAACAGACGCTGTAGCAGCGCTTTCCACAAATGTAGGCCTTAATATCCAAGAGAAAAGCACGATCCTGTAATACAACACAGTGAGCAGGTATAAAACTACATTTGATGGAGAAGCTCTGGAAGAGGTCGGACATATACGGGCAGTATTGATAAAAAGAGAGGATCTAATGTAGATGTGAAGGCATGGGTTACTAAAGCAAGGATAGCATTCCTCCAAATGAAGAATATTTAGGACTTAAAATAACGGTCAGCAAACACTAAAGTTAGAATTGTTACTAATAACGTCAAAAAAGTTCAGTTTCATTGAGCTGAAAATTGTAGAACTACAGGTATTTATAAGCAGCTTTCTATGCAAAAAAGTCTACACATCCATAGGTCACAGACTACCGGAAAAACCGAACGTGACAGAGAACAAATCAGTTGCCCACTGAAGAAAAAATCAGGAAGCGACTCTGAGGCTGGGCAGACGAAATATTGCGGAAACTATCAAACTGCATCACAAAGCAACTCCTAACTTGAAGTCATCAAGACGAAAAGAAAAGAGGCAGACATTAAAAGGATGAATAGTACTTAGCAATAACTAGAAAGGAAAATTGAGAATAGAACATGTTGGAGATTCTTAGTCGGAGGCTAATTACTCAAAAGAGGTTACAGGCTTAAGTAAACAAATCACATGTCAACTGCTTGCAATCTATAATGTTTTTAAAATCAAAATAACAGAGCGGGTTGAAAGTACCTACATAAATGAATTTTATTAAAAGTCATTGTGGACACGCAATAACATAGTATAGCAGAGATTGAGGTAAGGTTAGCAGACTAAATAAAGGTATTCATAAGAATACACGGTTGTTTGGTTTAAGGTAAAATTATTGGACGAGAAGAGACTCATAAACTGTGTAATTGATCGACAGGAAAATGTGAAAAGAATTTCACATGTCTAAACAGTGTTTGTGTTAACAGGACAGAGGAAAGTTAATAACTCTTTACTTTAGAATACAAAATCTTGGCTTTTAACTCTTGATAACAATTTTCAGCAAAATTTAGAATAGAATTCGGCAATTTAGTTAGTTTGAAAACATTGAGGCATCAACCTGCTGTCCTACGACCAAGTGATAACCATAAATTGTCTTAACGATAGTTCTTCCTCCTTTTGAGCTAGGGCTTTTTGGCATATGCTAAAGTACAACTAAGGTTAGCTTTCCTTTCTGTCCAGTCGAATTAGTTAGATTGACAGGAACTTGCAGATTTCTAGACACAATTAACGTTAAAATAAGAGAGACACTAGCCAACTTGTAATGAAATTATTAGACATTATGTTTTAGATACACTGACATAAACAAAAAAAATACATATAGTTAAAACAGAGAGATGGAAAGAGTTATGGTCAGTCAGTCACAACGTAGAACCTGTTACATATGTACATCGGTTCAAGTTGCCATAAACCAGTAGCACGACTAGATGAAATTTTCACGTCAAATCACACGATAGTAGAGATAGTAATAGTGACACTGACAATACGAAGGATTGAGCATCGAAAATACCATTTGAGAAAATATAAATTAGTAAAATAAGAAAATTGTGAGGGATTTATGAAGTCAGCATTTGCGAAAAGAATAAAAATGGATGTGCCTGAGACATTAAAAACAATTTTACACCACGACATTCAAAGTCTCTAACCATTGATTAAGATAATCACATGGAGCGCAATCAGACAATCTAAACCCAGTCCGATTGTCAATGACTTCATGGACTGGTCTAACGGCTTGGTGTGGTCTCTAGCTACTCCTAAATCAGACGAAATCGACCATCGAGTTAGGCACTAATTGGGCAAACATGACACATTATCTAACCACCACAGCTATTTTCAATCATAATCATAGTAGAACCTGGCACAAATCTATATCGACCGAAGTTGTCATAGCACATCACAGCGAGATGGAAATGATTTATTTTTTTCATTATTATTAGTGGCTTTATTCAATATTATACTTTTGTTACAATATAGAATTCTCAGCACAAAGCATTTCAACAAGTTTCCCTTTCTTATTTCTTGATCAGTTCCTTGCGATAAATATCGAGTGGTCACCAGTTAGATGTTGGATGCTCAGGAATCGACATCTGATAAATGTATATCCTTTTCGATGCATATTGCCAGTAACCATGATGTCTTTGATTGAGCTCTTTTGTAACTTGTACAGAGAAATGTCGTAAACGTTTCACAAACGCACCTGAATAGGTTATGAGACTAATAGGCATAGTGATGTGTTAAAACAAAAAAAAAAACAGATAACTTGTTGAAATACCCAGATGGTAGGAACAGGTAACCCAGATATTCAAGCAGGCCGCCTAGATAAACAGTACTAATCTCACAATAATATTAGTATCAATGACATTAAAGATTATCAATCAACGTTAGGAAATGAATTCGTGGAATAAAGCATGAGAAACTATACACAGACCAAAAACTAAGTTAATATATCGTATGAATCTGTGCCTCCATAACCGATGTCTCTTTAATTCTCCAATTATTGATCACAATTAATGTCTTAACCCTCTCTATTATCAGTTTTGGACTTAAATATACATGCTTTGATAAACCAATATTTATTTATGGAAACCTTCAAATTTGACATATAAACAAAGTGTTGAAAGGTGATTTGTTGAAATCAACCATTTTCATTAAAAGGATTTGAATTAATAATCTTGATTACATAATCGTACTGTTAGTAATATCGATTACAATAAACGAGTACAGATGATTATCATATTCGTTTTGCCTATAGTCTGTGATGTAATATATACTTCCTCAATTAGAATAGTTCATTGTTGTCACCACTGAATTATTGTTAATGTTTGAGATTAAAGTTCACTTATTTATTTGCTCTGTAAAAAATAATTTGTACAGTCGAAACAATGGTACACAGGGTACAATATTTCCTAATAGTGTAGTGAACGAAAAAACAGGTGAGGACAACCCAAATGTATTTCAATACAATATTACAGAATATCTTAGTAAAATCTGAAAACCATACAGTAAATTATTCATTTACAAAATACCCATCAATCGTCTCAGACTTGACTGTTCCTTCGTTTCCATACCAATCACTCTTTGTTCTCGTTTTTTTCTCTTCAAACGTCTTAACCTTCTGCCTCCAGACATTTTACTTTCGATTGATGATACATACTACTTGACATAAGTAGCACACATCATAACACTTCACCCTATTCTGTGATTATATTAGCAAAGGATTTGTGACAATGTAATAATTGATACGTGATTATTCATCAGAATTGGAATACTGAACAGTTAGTTAGAAGTTGCTGAGGCAATGAATTAGTTCATTTAACATTAAATAAATTTACCTTGTTTCTCTATTATTATTATTATTATTATTATTATTATTATTATTATTATTATTATTATTATTATTATTATCGAAAATTACAAACAAATTTTCCATCGATCTTGAAATATTTTATTAAGGACCTTGTGTTATTTACAAATCCGACGCTTTATAAAACCACAAGTGAATCTATTCACTAATTTTGGGCGTTTCTCAAAAAATGTACAACTGGTTTTGAAAACAGCTTGGTTTTTTTTAACTATAGACAAGCTTATGAAGGAATTGAAGATGTAAATAAGCTAATAATCGGTATGAATTGAATGGAAGCCAAATAACTTAGAGATATAAAATGATATAGAACAAATTTATTGATCATACAACGACTTTCGTTTGTGAATCGTAGTTTTAAATCGAGTAAATTGATAAATCCTCACTTCTGTGACTTAAGATCATTGACTAATACCAAAAATCACCAATTACAACTAGGATTTCCCTCTATGTTGCGTCTATGTTCCTTCTACAGTTTAGTGTCTAATTAAACGTCTGACTAGCATCGTTTATCTTAAGCCGACGCAAGACAAGTTTTTATTGATCCGAAATGTTTAAAACTTCTCCATCTTCTGCTGAGAGTTCAAAGAGAAGTAAGTAGCCAGCTTCTATTACTAATGTATTCTAGACATACATAAGTTTATATGAAAACATACTGGACCGAACCGCACCACAAAATGAAAAATCACGATTATGCATAACCAAGGCAAAAGTGGTTGTGAATAATAGATGGGTGATAAGACAGGGATAATGAACCGTACAATAATAATCAATGGGTTAAACGGAAGTATAAGATACACGCAACCTAAAAATATAATAATCCAGTTATTTAGTAATTATATATAACAATAGTAATCCATAAATTAGTTCTAGGAGTTACTATTTCTTCAATCATATGGTACGTCATCCATGTACATGATAAAGCCAGAAAAACGAAACTAAACTCTCCCTAGTTTCTGTTGTACATAGAGAGCTGTTTACTTTCTAAGTTAGGGTTTGAGATGTGTATGACTACGAACCTACTGGATATCGAATTTAAAACACCAATGATTGAGAACATAGAGTCAAATAATAACATTTCATGATGTACGTCAGTTGTTATAAATCCTCGGTTGAACCTTTGCAGTTGAAGGTACAAACTGGGATTCGGTAACAAAATGTAGATTCGTATATTTAGTTATACGTTGAGCAATTTAGAAAACCAGCTGGTGATAATATATGACCGCTTGCACCAAAATAGTGGGAGAAGAGTTTGAATCTAAAAATTAACGGCTGATGGTAGAGTATTATATCACTTGAAACAATGACCAACAAATTGATTGTATTTTGTAACTGAACAATAATACACATTTTTCACACTCTTGGAGATAAAAAAAGCAACGCTCATAAGGTATTAAAATTAGTATCGTTCTAACATCAATCATCAGAAACATATATGACATATTTCGATTAAGACAGATAACACCAGTGTAACAACTTACCAGTAAGACCAGATATGACCCAAAACGGACTCAGTATAGACCAACGAGGCCACGCATCTAACTGACGAAGTAGGAGTCTACGCCAAGAACGATATCCACCAACAAGCGTATATAAATTACCCGGCCAGCCTACTTCAGATAATATAGTTGCTAAAGAATTAGATCTTTGACCACCACGCCAACAATAAATAAAAAAATCAGGATATTTCACAACTTTTCTATTTCCATTAGAGTGATGATTTACAGGAACCGAATTGTCTAGTTGTAAACCATATTGAAAAGAAAGTTCTTTCAAACAACGACTAATATTGGCACAGACCAAAGATGCACCATAAAGGCGAGCTCGAACACGATCATCTATGTGTATTGGAAAAACAATAATATACAAGAGATGTTCTGAAAGTGTGAAGTTAATATATTTCACAGATGAAAGAAATTTGCACTAAGATCATTTCAAAGGTCTGGAATAGAATAACATGAATTCTGAGTTGTTGTTTTTGTTTTACCTATCAAATGTTGTACAATGTTCTTCTTCCACATAAAAAAGTGGTCTAGTGGTTAAGTGCTCGCGCGCGAAACCAGTAGGTCCTGGGTACGAGTCTCGCAGATGGCGAGGTCATGGATGCGCACTGCTGAGGAGTCCCACGATAGAACGAAACGGCCGTCCAGTGCTTTCAGGTTTTTCATGGTGACCTAGCATCAAATGACTCATGATCTTAACCATTGAAAAAAGTATATATTTGCAATATTTTATTTTGTCTCTTAAAATGATTTACATTCTTGTTAAATTACACTGATGTGTGTATGTTAAAACTACTTCTGATTAAATTCGTTTGTCATTATTATCAACTCATTTTATAATGATGAATTTAAAGTAACATAGATAATATGAAGACGACGAGAACTTAATGAAATAGCTTCTACCTGAAATTTGTACTGTTATCGTTTAGAAGAACAATGAAAGCTCCACGACCAAACTATCCAGCTCAAAGAACAAAACTCCATCAAAATTAATGTTATTCTATTCATATAGTCGTTATTGTTTGTTTCACGATAATGAAGGAGACATTCATCTACGAACTGAGTGAAAGATGTGCTTTTTTGGTAAAGGTGTTAAGCTAACAATACGAAATTATTAAAACCATGAACAGTAAGTTGTGGTGCTATTTTTCAAAACTGAACTCGATAATTTGTTAATTATATTTAAATACTTTATGCATGTGAATTTACTTTCAAACGAAAAGACTACTTAAATATTCACATTACCTTTCACAGGCTCAATAGTCTAGTATTTAGGTGCTCGCGAGACCGAAGGTTCCGGTTAATGTTCCCAGTTGGGGCGTGGATGCATATTGTTTAAGAGTCTCGTACCAGAACTTGACAGTTTTTAAGTGCTTTGTGGTTTTTGGTTGTCACACTAAAATCAATGGATGATGCAATCTATGGAAATCCAACATCTACAAGCCTCCAATAGTAATAATAGTCATGTGTTTACGTGTGACTTACTTTGATACGTATTTTCAATAATCCTAGTGAGAAGCCGTGACCAGTAGGGTTAAACTATGTTGCACGTGAGGCAATGATCCAATATAGTTAATGGAAGATAGTCGAGTAATATCATCAAGTGATTGGAGTTACATATGTAAACCATTAGACACAGGATTCAGCTGTCTGGAGGTCAAGCACCTAAGGACAGAAGTTGTGAGCCCACATAATTGAGGACAAAAACAACTGTCCATTGGTCCATAATTTTGGGTTATAGTTGTGTGACTAAGATCAATGGGTAATGAATCTATGAGAAGAACTAGTGTTCAAATCATTAAGATTGTACTAAAAAGTTAAACCATTGAACTATTGAGATTAGCTTATAACAGCGTACATATATATTGACCTTCACACGTCCATTTACTCGTGACATCTACAATATATTACTTTATGCCTTACAAGTATCATTTAACACCCTATGTTTATCAGAAAAAGTTACTAGTGGAAACACCTTGATCTTAAATAAGTGACTGGAAAACATTTACAAAGCGAATAATTAATGTACTAACCAGTAATTAACCAGTTTAAACAACAATATATACTTCAATGGCTTAATATTGTTCACAATAGTTAATTTAGCAATGAATGTTGATTTATTAATAAACATTAGATGCGTAAAACCATTGAAAAAAAACTACAGTGAGACTATAACTTATGGACGACCTTTGAGCAACGCTAAAATGACCTTAGAATGATCACCTATTACTAGCGGTAAATGAGGGTTATAAATAAGTGTGAGGAATTAGAATAAGGATTTACAGTTAAACGTTAGGGTTATAATGCCAAAATGGTATTTAACCAAATAAAAGAATGAATTTCGCGCCAAAATCCAAGACCTGAAATCTTACATCTGAATGGTTCGTCCATAAATTATAGTCTCGCCACTGACCGGTGAATTTATTACAAAAAGATGATTTCGCTGAAATTCCATTTGTTTTCCAGTTTGTAATGAGAATTATAGCCGGATAAAAATATTCACTCCCAAGATAATAAATACGAGAAACTTTAATAATGGATCGAATTACATTGTAAAATACAAGCGCTAATTTTAACAAAAATCTCCTATGATAATTATTAACTTCAAGTTAAAACTATTCTCTATCGTTGGATGCGGACTTAGTGGTCTAGAGGTGAAATGTTCGCGTGAGACCGGAGGTCCTAGGTTAGAGTCCCGAGCGCAGGATCATGGACACGCACTAGTGAAGAATCCAATACTAAAACGAAACGGCCTTCCATTGCTTCTAGGCTTTCAATGGTGGTTTAACATTGATCCATTCATGATATCATTCTAAACTCAATAATCTCCACAACCCTATACTGAAAATTATTCTCTACACAGACAGTAAATTTAGATCATTAGTTTGTCTCATCAATCGAAAGTAAGATGCTTGGAGGCAGAAGGTTAAGAAGTTTGAAGAGAAAAAAACGAGAACAAAGAGTGATTGGTATGGAAACGAAGGAACAGACAAGTCTGAGACGATTGATGGGTATTTTGTAAATGAATAATTTACTGTATGGTTTTCAGATTTTACTAAGATATTCTGTAATATTGTGTTGAAATACATTTGGGTTGTCCTCACCTGTGTTCTCGTTCACTACAATATAAATTGGTAACGGTGAAAAATATTTATATACACCACTTTTAGCCATAATTCGGGAACTATTGTTACCAGTGGGCTGTTCAAATTTCAAAAAATGAAGTAATTTGAACCAAGAATTCAGGAGACATTGAGAAGGGAGAATGTATTTGTAAGATCTCAGTGAACAAATTTAAAGTAATAAATCCAACGTTCCGTTTAGCAATTTGGTCCAAGTTTTTTTAAGGAAATATAATCAAACATCAAAGCTCTTATATAAGGAATTCAGAAGAGTTAACTTAGATGTTGAGTTTTTCATACAAATAATTAACGTAGCAACTTACCTTGATTGTATAAACGGCCAACGATTGCTCTTTCTTCATTATTTAAAACAGGAAGATTTATTGCTCCATGAATGTGATCTTCATTAAATTCATCAGGACTTCGTACATCAATAATGATTGGTTTTGAAATAGGATCGGAAAATACACTTGACCATGTGCAACAACCTGGAGGACCTGATTCCGGTGGAGGGGGTATAGTTGGATGCCATGCGTCATGTGTAGCATATGGTTCAGAGATCAAGGTCACCAATTTGAAAGATTTCTTTGGTTTGCTAGTAACATGTGAACTTAAAAAGGATTGTGGTTGTTGGTTGGTTATAGGTAAGGAAATTCGTTTACCATAAAATAAACATAGGTGGGAACACCAAGATGAACGATTGAAGTGATGTATCTATTCCAAATAAAAATTTGATTTATAGCCTAATGCATACAAATTACTGGAACGTCAAACGCAAAAAAATCCAATAGTTGTTCGTTTAATGTAACTCCAAACTGAGCAATCGTTTACTATGCGTTCTAACCACAAATCACTTTTTCTAATTATATCTAGGTATATCAGTAATTATGAACGGATTCTTAGTCTTCTGTAACAGGTAACTAATAATCTTACTTTACAGGTTTTTTATTTATTCAGCCAAATCGATTAGTAGATGACTATCAGTAAAGGAACCAAGTTGCTTGAGGTTCTGTAAATAAACCAGTATTTAGTGAATGAGTTACAATATTAGAGCTAACAAACGGTAAGACAATGAGACTAAGGATTGGTACGTAATAATTCTTTCAGTTTCTTACAAACAGTTCCTACTGTAGAAAACATGAGGATGCCTCAGGAATAAAAGCCACAGAAGAAAGTTTTAAAAATAACTTCACTGAACAAATAACAATTTCGGTTATGTTCACATAGGGACAGGACCGAGTGAGAACGAAGTTATGGGGGCAGTAATAATTAATCATCTTTGAGATGAAGTTAAGTGAAACAAGTATTCGGCAGAACTATACACACTGAAGCATCATACAGTAAAACTATTACAGCCAAAATAACTTTCGCAGTACACTATTCTACATTTGGCTCGAATTGCGAATGTCCCAAAATATACCAATAGAAGTGTGATGTTAAAACAAGTTCATTTTAAAAGCACTTAAAATTCCGAATTTAGAAGGCTTAAATCACAAATATAAACACCAATTAACTGGTAATATGTAATTTGCGGAAACTGTACCTCAAGAGATAATACAACGAATTAAAGATTGAAGGTTAAAGCGTCAACGCATACGTTTTTGAAGCCACTTCAATTCCAAGGTTAGACAAGAATGATGAGAGCGAATATGTCTCCCTACATTCCCTAGCAATTTGGAAACGATAGAAAAACGTGTAGTTACACGTTCTAACACTTATTCAAAGAAACTATAGAGAATTGAACTAATTGACATAAACACCTAAACAATAATCGTAAACATACATGAGATAAAATCCCAACATTCTAGTGAGGTTTTTGTTACTACGGTTTCACCATATTCAGTGATGAAACCAACATAATGGGATTCGATTATCGTCGCTTTATTGGTTGACGTTGGAATGGTGAATCAATGGATTCTAATACAGTACCTTAAGTAATAGTAAAGCGAACTTAAAGCATTTGAAGTCGATTCTTGGTGAGGTTGTGAATGCCCGTTATCGAGAACTCTCGATAACAGAAGAAACGGCTCTCTCTAGTAGAAATAAATCCATGAAGAAAACTATTTTGAAAACTAATTAACAAAGCAAGTTATATGAATTATTTTATCTATGATTTTCAAAATGTAAATGAACTCACATAAAATCCCATTAACGAACAAGCGCTTGTTAAGACAATCACAAAAGGTTGTTGGATACATATATTAACAAAGGAATTTTTCGTAAGCCATCAGTTAGAACATAGCCTTCTCTCTTATTTATAACAGTTTACACAAATCTAATAAAACACAATAAAATAAAGGGACCTAGTTGAAAATATATAATTTAGTTCATCACGGACATTAATGGTTAGATGTCATGGAACAATTGAACAATGTTGAATGAAGTTATTTCTGACAATACACTACACTGGGATGGGTTTCAAGGATCATATCCAAAACTAGCTATAGTTCGGTCATCCTTAAGATTCGAAAGCTAAACGTCCAGAATGGTTTCAAACTGTAATGGGGTCAGATTGATGCTTAGTAACTCTACATGACAGAGATTGTTAATTATCGAACTGCGGAGAAAATAAAACAGTGAGACAATAAATCTATGGATAATATAGTGAAAAAAATATTGAGTATAGATTTGGTGAATAATAGTAAAATGCTATGAATCTTTGCTTTTTGTATCCTATATTAAAGTTATGTTGCGGTTTGACGCTGTCCGTGAATTCGGACTGACGAAAATAACTAATGTTAAGGAACAACGCACATTATTATGTTAAATATTTATTTCATTAGTAAGAAAAATCAGCAGCTATATATTCACGACAGGAGATAGTCAGAAGCACGCTATTTAAATTATTCGGATGTGGGATCACACTACCCGACCATTATTGCTGACTGTACAGAGGTGTGACAGCAGTAAGGTGTTTCCTTCAGACAACCAGCATGACAGCGATGTTGCCTTCCCACAAGGAGGGGTGGGGTTAGAAAAGGTCGACCCAAAAAAATGCTGACCTCACCTTATCCCACGGACATCCGTCTCTGGCGGTAAGGCCTCAACAAGCACGGAGCTAACCCAAAAACTACTCATAAAAATGTCATGTGTGACCGACCTTAAGCAGCTGTCCATTGGGCACTGCGGTCACGCTCTCAGGTCACTATGACCACCTCTGATCCAATTTCCTTTTCAGGTACCTCCAGAAGAACCCTTCCACTGTATGGGCAACCGGGAAGTGATAACCGCCCTCATACCTCTAACAGCACTCAAGACCACTAAGGGATCAGATTAGTATATTAAGGTACTTTGAAAAGAATTTAAGGTATGATTTCTATTAACATTTAGCCATCACATTAAACCAATTTTTAGGTTTTATCTGTTAAATATATGCGTCAATATTTTTAATCCTAGAAAGTTAACAGATCAAAATTAATGTTATCATCAATGTAAAAACTAAAGGAAATTAAAACAATGGTTAGATGATGATTCATTGTCGATGTAATCTTGGCATAATGATAAATAAGATCGTATAGAATGAAACAATAATGAAAGTATCCAAAACTAAATTTAAGTTCAATAATAATGAGCATCAACAAATCATGAGTACTAGAAATTATTACATCACACTGAAACGTTGATGTTCTATGCTCAAAATATATAAGGGATAGAAACCAGTTTGTAAATATAATAAAATACATTTCTTAACTACAATAATTTAAAAGAGGATTAATTATTCAATGCAAAACGGAATAAATAAATTCAAGGTTTATTTATTATTATTTATTTAAACACATGAACATTGATACTAAGAGGCACCAAACAGATATGTGGCACATAAATCATTTGATTTATGTGACAGCTGGGATACTGCCCAGTTGCCCTAACCGAAGTAGGTGGTTTTCTTATAGGGCCACTATCCGAGTCTAATCCACAAGTCAGTGGAACAACGTCAGGAGATGCAGTCCCATGGTAGTCATTGACCAATAATTGGTTCATAACACATTTTTTTCCTTCAGGATACTGGAAATCCATGTGCACCATTCGTTTGGAATCAGGGTTTTCCAACTCACCTAGGTGGATCCTCTATATCCACCAACCCGGTTAAAGTGCCGGCATTCGCTTTTCATCCTCTTAATTTCATGAACAATAACCCGGCCCCGAGAAGACAGTGAGTAGGCCTTCCCTGGTAGTGGTTGTATACACGTGATCATATGAGAGCGTTTCAAGCAAGCAGATACACCTTGAACTTTATAAGTACAAACATACACTAAATGTTAGTCAACAAACAAACAAACAACAACAACAGCTATTTTGAAAATTACTTTCAAACATCTAACATAAACATTCTTATGAATAGAAAAACAAAACAAAACAAAAAAAGAAAAAGTCACCATAAAGTAGTATTATTCAAAAAGAGAAAATGAAACAACAAATAATGTTATATTTACTATGACAACTAAAATAATCATATACAAAGATATAAGACATAATAATGATAATATGATTGCATTTTATAACATAACATATCATGTTATCATTCATAAACAATTTGTTTTAATCAAATTAATTTATACCGATCAAATGATTTGCATTATACGTGTCATCCAAATGAAGCTTTATAGATAATGTTCTAGGTGTTGTAATATCACTAACATGAATTATTTGACCATTAATAAGACCAAGTTCTATTAAAAATATAAATAAATAAATATAAACAATCAATGGTAAGCATACTATAATACAATACAATGATGTTTACACAAGAAAAAATTATTTAATTTATTCCAAATGTTATTAAAACAGTAAGATAAATAACTATTTTAATATGCCCCCAAATGCCCTGGTACGGTCGAGAGTGGGGTGGGCCCGCCGTCCCTCTCGAAATGCTATCACATGGCCTCTGCCAGGGAAGTCCTACTCACTGCCTTCTCGTACCACGGGTGTTGTTCACGAGAATGAAAGGACGAAAAGCGAATGTCCGGCACTTTACCCGGGTCACAAACCAATGGTGCACATGGGCTCCAGTATCTTGAGGGAACAAATGGAGTATGAACCAATTGTTGGTCACCGGCTACCATGGGACTGCATCTCCTGACGTTGTTTCACTGACTTGTGGGTCAGATCTTTAGGTCAAAGGCCCCCCAAGAAAACCACATGCTTCGGTCTGGGCACACGGGAAGTATCACAACCCACAGACAAAATTTTTTGTGGCGCCCTCTTGTACCAATATTTATGTGTTCAAATAAAATAAAATAAAAACTATTTTAGTATTATAGTCCAATCATTTAGATGTGTTGTTAACTTTGGAATTTAATAATTGAATTCATGAGTCAATTGAAGTTAGGCCACCATCGGTAACATGGAAGCACTGGATGGCTATTTCGTCCTAGTATGGGACTCCTCAGCAATGTGCATACGCGATCCCGCCTCGCGAGATTCGAACCCAGAGTCTAACAGTCTCACAAATCAGCACGTAACCACTAGACCACTGAGTCGGCATCCAACGGTGTTAATGTCTTCTACGACTAAACTTTGGAATTATAATAAATAGATCGGAAACAATTCACAGATTTTATAAAGCGAATGTCTGGCGCTCTAACAGGGTTGGTAGATCCACTTAGGGGAGTTGGAAAACCAAGACTACAAACGAATGATGAACATGGGCTCCAGTATCCGGAGGGAACAAATGACGTATGAACCGATCGTTGGTCACCGGCTACCACGGTAATGCATCTCCTTACGATGCTCCATTGCCTTGTGGATCAGACCTTTAAGTCGAAGGTTCTGGGTGTGACCCCCTAAAAAACCACTTGCTTTGATTTGGGCACATGGGCAATATCACAGCCCTCACACAAATCAATTGAGATTCGTGTGGCGCATATGTATTTGGTGCCTTCTTGTACCGATATCTATGTGTTAAAATAAATAATAATAATAATAAATAAGGTTGTGGAGATTATTGGGTTTTTATTGAAATCATGAACCGATTGATATGAGACCACCATCTTCAACCAATCCACAATATTACACTGCTGAGGAGTTCCATAGTAGGACGAAACGGCCGTCTAGCGCTTCCAGATTTTCAATGGTGGTCTAACATTGACCGGTTCATGATCTCCATAAAAACCTAACAATTTCCAAAACCCTATACTGACAACTTCACATTGTTGTCATAATAAGGTATGGGAAGTAGGTCCAAAGGACATCTACGCCAAGCTCTACATTGATGGTGATCAACACCTCGATGTCGATGTGCTGATGTGCCGAAATGTACAGGACAAGCTGTAAACCACATGTGGAGAAGTCCGAATACTTCACTTCTACCTAAAGTTTCCGCTGATAATGTCATTCAGAAGAACAATGAAAGCTCCACGGCTAAAACATCCAGCGCACAGAACCAAAATCCACCAACATCATCTACCTGAGCTACAAATTTCCACCATCTTAGCATACACCATATTAACACTTAAAGATTTGTTGCAACCATGTGCCAATAGCAAATTTTTCTAGCTTAGTAATAACAGTTAATCAGATTGATAAATTACTTAAATGAAACTACACATCGATTCGTCAGTATTTAAAAGACTTACAGATTAATTGATCATAATTATTAATCAGTCTATCAAAATGCTTGAAGTCAGCCAGAAACTGTTAAAATTTTCAACTTTAAACAGCTATAAAGTTGGTTAGACGATATTTTGAATGAACTGGTAATAGAACACATATCGAGACAAGATTATCAGATATTATTTATAAAAATCAACTTGTAAAATGGCTCGAATTCACTTTCGAAAGTGGAATTACAGTAAAACTAATTGAAACCAGTAAGCATTGAAAAGTCATTGTATTTTGCTTTGTAACTATAGGTTCTAGATTCAAAAATGAAAAGAATTGAGGTTAGTAATCAAAAAGGTTAGTTCTAGCACTTCTTCGACTGATGTCATTTCCTGCTAAGAATTATTATTTATTTATTATTCATTTATTTTAACACATGGGTATTGGTACAGGGAGGCACCAAATATATATGCGCCACACAAATCTCATGTGATATGTGTGAGGGCTGTGATACTGCCCGGGTGCCAAAACCGAAACAGGTGGTTTTCTTAGGGGGCCACATCTGGAGCCTTCGACCTGAACGTCTGACCCACAAAGCAGTTGAGCATCGTAAGGAGATGCAGTCCCATGGTAGCCGGTGAACAACGATTGGTTCATACGCCAGGATACTGGAGCCCATGTGCACCGTTGATTTGGGATCCGGTTATAGCGCCGAACATTCGCTTTTCGTCCTCTCATTTTCGTAAACAACACCTGTGGTGCGAGAAGGCAGTGAGTAGGACTTCCCTGGCAGAGGCTATATACGCATGACCATGTGAGAGCATTTCGAGAGGGAGAGCGGACTCTCCCCACACTCGGCCGTACCAGGGCATTTGGGGGCAATTATCTTTAAATATATTAAATCTTCGAAAATAGGAATTGAATCATTAAGATTTAAAATAAACGTTACAATTAGAAAAATATTTAAAATATGATTTCACTTCATTTAATTAGGTTGAGTAATACTGAAGTGAGAAAACTCGAATAGCTAATATACCTACCTTGAAGAGTTTTAGACAAATTCGGTTTCAGGGTATCAACCAATTCTGGCAGATTGATATACAATGAACGATGTTGATCTTCAATAATTGTTGTTATACTAGGTGACTGCATTTGACTAGAAAATAGGACAAAAATATGAAGTGATATATATATATATATATATATATATATATATATATATATATATATATATAATACTGATGAAGCCATTATTTATCACTTTTCATATTAGAAATATTCAAGGACTTATCCACCGTTAAACATGTTTTACGTATAAAAAAATATATTAGCCAAAGGCGCTAATCGTTTCAAATACGTTTGCAGTTACAACAGATTCATTGGATTGATTACCGATAATAATAAAGTATGTATGTGAAAGGTTTCACTAAAAATAACCACTATAAAGTAACAATATGTCTTATTCTGTTATAGAACTGTGATATGTAGTAATGGAAAAGAGGTATTAAGTAGTTACTGTTCCCATTGCATCATACTCACAATGTGTTATAACGTTCGGATTTTCCTCGTCTACACGAATGGGACGTTAAGTTACCTTAGACGAATATCTACATTAGATTCCCTCCCAATGTCTATTCTACAGATCAAAAACACGTGATTAGCCTGACGAAAACATAAATGTATTTCTACATCAAAAACCGACAACAAGCCGACACAATCCAATAATAATAAGGATAGAAGAATATATAAATCATTTAACACCTGTCAAACTATCTACAAGTCTGACTAAGCAAACAACAAATCCTTATCATCCGCGCTCACACATCACAACAGATGTGACCAGAAAAAAAGAACGTAATTTAGTTCATGTAAATCTGAGATTGTATTGTAAGGTATAGTCAGTTATCAACATATCTCATGAACTACATTGACTAGTGCTCCCTTAAAGTAAAATAACACTCAACATAAATTCATTAAAATAGTAAACTACGCTATGAACGGAATTTCAAGCTTCTTAGCAATAGTTCATCAAACAGAATAAATCACACATAGTTAAATATCTGTATTATATTAATAGACTGAATGATGATGATATAATCACTTACAATACAAGAGGATATATGTAGAACTATAATAGGAACTGGAATACACTTATTAGTACATCGATGAAAAACTCCACAATAACACATAGAGATATTTAATCACAATTATGAAGGTGTTATAGTAAAAAAAACATGAACCTTCCATAATATAATAATATAGATTTTTCTATGGTTGTTTAGTTTACAAAACATTTTACAATCATAGTTCAATACTCACAATTCAGGATCTGTCTTCAAAAAATTTATAACATCTCTTAATGTACAAGTAGTCTGAAATCGAAGAGTTCTTGGCACATTGTTACAGGCAAGACAATCAGCCTATAGTAAGTTTTCAAAATAGAAAATTTCCAACAATTTAAATACGGCATTAACAATAAATGCTCACCATAAATCATCGAAATAAATAAATAAATATAAGTTCAATCAATTCATGATTTGCACAACCCTTCAACCGTTTGTTTGAGGTGAATAACTATCTCCACCCGACACAGATTAGACTCTACTGGTCACAGCTTCTCACTAGGGCAGTTATCCACCTCAGACAACAGATGAAAGGTTATGCAAGATCATAGATCGATTGAAGTTAGACATGAACACCGTTGGATGCTAGCTCAATGATCTAGGAGTTAAGCGTTCTGAAAATATAATAACTGTTCATTGAAAATTATAAGAAAATATCAAAGGATCGTATTGTCAAATTCAATCATCATTACTTGAATGAAACTGGAATCATGTAAATAAATTAGCCACACACTGTTCCCTTTATTATCTTAAAGCACGCAAAAACAAAGATATATATATATATATATATATATATATATATATATATATATATATATATAAATCATTTATTTATTTATTTTAACATATATATATACTAACAATGTCAATGATTAACAGTCTTAACTGTCATATCGACCACTTTTATGGTTGACTTTAATTAAGTATATATCTTTTTTCTTCTTAGTATTGCTTCAGGTTCACAAATTTCCAATGGACAAATGCCTGTACACAATTGTTATTTCTATTTTCTAAAATCAAATTAACAAATATCTGAAGATATCCCAAGTAAAATTCCCATGTTGTATGAGTAAGTTTCACTGGGGTAATGACTGGAAATAATACTCATTATTGTTGAAGAAAACACGCATACCCCAAATGTCATGGTATGGTCAGGGAAGTCATACTCATTGCATTTTCGTGACGGCGGTGTTGTTTACGAAACTAAGAAGACAAAAAGCGAATATCCTGCGCTTTAACCGGGTTGGTTAATATAGTGGATCTACCTAGGTGAGTTGGAAAACCCTGATTACAAACCAATGGTACACATGGGATCCAGGATCTTGAAGGAAAAAATGGCGTATGAACCAATTGTTAGTTACCAGCTACCATGAGACTGCATCGCCTGACCTTGTTGATTAGACCCTTTAGATCGAAGGCTCTGGGTGTGACCCCCTAAAAAACCACTTGCTTCGATTTGGACACCTGGGCAGTATCAAGTGACTTATGTGGCGCATATGTATTCGATGCCTCATTGTGCCAGTATTTATATATTCAAATAAATAAATATTCAATAGATAAGTAAATCATCTTCAAAAAATCAACCATAATACTTTCTACAGTATTTCTTAGTATATTAAAATTTATTGCACAAAACTTTAACAAATCGATTGATTTGATCTCGTAGCACTATGCTATGATTTTTCTGAACCCTACTTAACTAAAACTTATTCAAATCAATTATATTTACTTCTATGAAACGCTTTTTAGAAAACATAGACACAATCTCTTATAATTACATCTCAGTTCTACAGGTCGGTCGCGGCCCGGATAGCTCAGTGGTAACGTCTCTGACTGTGAAGCTGGGTAACACGAGATCGAATCCGTCAGGGAGTACCAGTTCCCTTAAGATTACAGGTACACCTAGCTGACAAGTGCCAAGTAGCATGAAACACGGGTCTAGGGTTTTCTGTTGACTACCTCCAACCACCATCTAAGACACAATCTCTACATATCTCAGAAATACATAAAGAGGCATTAGTAACCTATAATATTTCATGAATCAAAGCGTAAAAGAAATGAATGAGACAAGTGGAAAAAAAAGACTAGAAAGAAAGACAAGAGATTAATAGTTTAAGGCTTACAATTGAACGTGAAACTATGTGAAAAATATTTTACCTTTATATCACTTAGAAGTAGTAGTTAACGAAAAAAGCTATGAAACAGATTACAGTCAATCTTAAAGATATCTTTATGGTATTTATAAGATAAACTGTGTATTAACTTTTTCCAATGTCGTCAGTGTAAAGGCTTTGTAGTTTAGATACTCGATCTTAAATTTTAGGATCATGGGTTTAAATGGAACTTGACCAGGTTCATTTTTGGTTATTTATTTATTTATTTATTTATTTATTTTAACACATAGATATTGGTACAAGGAGGCACCAAATACATATGCGCCACACAAATCTCAATTGATTTGTGTGAGGGCTGTGATACTGCCCGGGTGCCCAAACCGAAGCAAGTGGTTTTCTTAGGGGGCCACACCCCGAGCCTTTGACCTGAACGTCTGATCTACAAGGCAGTGGAGCATCGTGAGGAGATGCAGTCCCATGGTAGCCGGTGACCAACGATTGTTTCATACGCCATTTGTTCCTTCAGGATACTGGAGCCCATGTGCACCATTGGTTTTTGGATCCGGTTAAAGTGCCGGACATTCGCTTTTTGTCCTCTCATTTTTGTAAACAACACCCCCGCCACGTGAAGGCAGTGAACATAGTCATACAAAAGTATTTTGACTGAATAAACAAATATAAACACATAACAAGCGTTTAATTTGCGACTTCAAATCCGAAGAGAAACCATAAGGATGAATTGTTTTCTATCTATTAAAGACATCGAAAACAAAAGCAATTAGAATCACTTACTTTGCGTTCAACAGAAAAACCATACGTATAAACTCCATCTATATCACTGAAATTCATGTAATTATCCAAATAATTGTAACAGAATGTGATTAGTTTGAAAACCTGTGAAAGAGAACCGGCGAAGAAATAAAAAATCAATATATTCAGAGGATTAAAATGGCATCATATAAATTAGTCACTGTAATTCCATAATCTGATGACTGATTACGTAAAGCTATGTCGTTTTTTCTTTAAAGAGGATTGATCTGAATTTATTTTTAACTCCAACCACAACGACGTGTATAGATACATAACACGCTATACAGTTAACGGAAGTGCTCTAGGAGAACAGTTTATCTACTTTATTAAGTACATAAATCCTTGTGAAATGTTGAGATAAAACTCGACACATAAATGAAGTGATAGCTGAGTGAAGATAAAAAAGAGTGAACATCAACTCTGGGATGCAGGTACATGCAGATGACGAGTCCCAAATAGAACCAAACGCGCGTCCTGGATTCCACTGCTATCCACCATCCATCTTTGCTTATGAAAAGGGAATGGTTGCAAAAGCTATAAATTGTTAAACAAGAATAGTAATTTCCTAAAAATTCTGTTTGAAAACAGCCAAGAAAGATTCCTTTTAATTTAGGAAGTTCCCCTCAATTTTAAGAATAATGTCAAAGACAAAACCAGGATCGTCACAAGATTTGTCATAACCTCCAGTCTTCGTATACGTCTTTAATCAGAATACAAGACACAGCTTACTAATTCTAAGTTAGGAAAAAGAATTTATGAAGAAGTGGAACTATGAGGTAAAACAACGTACAAATCCAACATTAATCGTCAGTATGGGGTTGTGAAGATTGGTGGAGTTTATAAAAATTATGAACCGATCTAAGCTGGACCACCATTGAAAACCGTTTCTTCTCAGTATAGGACTCCTCAGAAGTGCGTGCCCCCGACTCCGCATACGGGAACCGAACCCAAAACGTTTGGTCTCGCACGCGAATATTAACTAGTTACAGTGGGTTGCATTTTATTGAATACCAACAACATAGAAAGAAGTAAAGTCTACTTATTTAGAAGACCAACCTCAGTTGCACATGCAGCTGCGATAACAGCATTTGTAGAAGCAACAGCAGGGATTATTCGCTTTACAACACCTTGTACAAGACGTAGTGTAACACCCGAAATTCCGAATTGTTTAGCCCTTTCACATGACTTTTCATATATCCATTGTATGTGTTCGGGTGAATCGCCGTCGATTGCAACATTATCTGTGAAAACAAAATATGATAAACAGTAAGAAAAATCATGATTAGTAATAATAATAATAGCTTTACTCAACATTATAAATGCCCTGGTACGGCCAAAAATGAGGAGAGTCCGCTCTCCCTCTCGAAAACTTCTCACATGCTTATGGATATATAGCCACTGACAGGAAAGTCCTACTCACTGCATTCTCGCGGCGGCGATGCTCTTTATGAAATCGAGAGGACGAAATGTGAATGTCCGGAGCTTTAACCGGGTTGGTGGGTCCACCTAGAGGAGTTGTAAAACCCTGATTACAAACCAATGGTACACACGGGCTCCAAGATCCTGAGGGACCAAGTGGCGTATGGACCTATTGTTTGTCGCCGGCCACCACGTGGTTGCATCTCCTAACGTTGCTCCACTGACTTGTGGATTAGGCCTTTAGGTCAGAGGCTCAAAGTGTGACCCCCTAAGAAAACTACCTGTTTCAGTTTAGACACCTGGACAGTATCACAGCCATCACATAAATCAATGATAACTACTACTAGTCTCATTGTTATTATGTGGCGCATATGTATTTGGTTCCTCCTTGTACCAATGTTTATGAGTTCAAATAAATAAATAAATATGTTACAGAGCGTATAGATACCTTCATAGACTTGGGTATGTCCATCACGTCGTAGTGCACAAACGCCATTTCGTCGACCCTACATCCGGCGTTCATACGAATAACATTGAAGCCATGTTGTCAAGATTGAAGGAGTTTTTAAGACCGTATCCACGGCTCCAGAGGTCGACTATTATGGAGCCATATGGATGAATTTTTATACCGTATGCATTAAGATTTCAAAACATCTGAACCTTTATCAAACCTTAACAAGTTTTTAAATCATGTAAAAGAAGAATATCCATTGTAATTCATTAGTTTTTTATAATATATTTTTACTTGATGCTAACTGTCTTCTGATTGGCTAATAGTTGTCAAGGTCATTAAATTAGAGTCCTTAAATTAGAGTCTCGACCAATTTTGAAACGCTGCTGTTGCCGCTGAAATGGCAACTGCGATTGATCAGAAGAGCCATTTTCTGTTTCTGTATGAATCAGCACGGTAATAGACAAGACAGTATGACTAACAACTAATATCGTTCAAGCACACCGACGACAATTCTGTATGCTGATTGTCTGAAATAATTATACCGATTTTCGTCCAATTACTGGCTAAACTTTGTTTTTTTCTTCCTTGATATACGTCCCCTGTTGTATTTTCGCTTTCTCACTACTGTTTCATCTATCTCCACAATACATCCTACTCCTCCAAATGATTGGTGTAGACGTGTCATTTTAGTTGCACATATAACCCAGCAATACTCATACCACTGGTCTGCTGAAGTTTCAGTAACATCTGCAAACGACGCAGCCAGTGTTATTGGTGTCCTTATTATCCAATTTTCAACTACTATCATGATCTGTCTCAGTTTCAGTCGCGATCGAGTGAAGAAAGTCCCCGTTTGAGTAGACTTTTTCCTCCAACATGAAGAACAACGAAATACAACCTCACTACGGTGGTCTGCACACTTTACTGCAGTCATTTGATAACCGCAGTCGCAGGTACAAGAACTTCTTAGTAGTCTCATCTCTTGTAGCCTCTCAATAATCACCTTTTCTCTAAAATCTGCTGTAAACCGATTGTATGTGAGCAACAGATGTTGAACTTGGCTCCGTGACCTTGAAATTGCTCAAACGCTTCTGATTGGCTCGTCCTTAAATTAGAGTCTCGCCACAGAATGTGCAAACAGTGACTTGTTCAGCTCACAAAAAGACTATGTCCTGTTAAGTGTTCATGAAATTGTCTCAGTAACCGCCCATGAAGAAACAGAAAATAAATCGAGCAGTATAATGAATGCAATTGCACCAAATGAAATTAATCATTCTGCGATAAAAGTTACTGATGAATCTAATTATCGGGATTCTCTAGTTGTTTTTACCGGATATGGGTTATCTTAACGATTCAAATATCCTTGATGAAATTTCTTATAAAAATGAGAAAAACATGTCGGATGCATCAGATGATAATCAAGAACCTAATGCAATTTTGATGGGAGCTGATTATTCTAATGATCCATTATCTACTAATGATTCTCAATAAATTTGATGAAACTGTTTCAGAAGAATCAGATCCTTATGACCGCAAATCAAGTGGCGTTTATCCTCACCATCTAGTCACTTTTAGTGGATTCTCTATTCAATACGGTAAACATGTTTTAAATAAAGTCACATTAATTGTAACTTGAGGATACGATGATCCAACACTATTTCGTGAGAGAGGATAAAGTTTAGAAAATTTAAATTCCGGATATCAACTCCGAATCTTCAAAAAAGGGGAGGTGTTATATCCCGATGAGAATAATGAATGGTAACTGTTGGAATCTATTTCTCGACTAATACTATACATATATTTTTATCGTATAATTGATAAGTAACTAAACTAATCATATTCGTGTTCTTCTTATTGAAAGCTTTATTTTGACCTATGAACTATTGTACGATTTACCATTCTTCAGCTATGCCCAATGTAATAATTACCGTCTCCCATACTAACAGCCACTTTTGGTTATATCTTTTACAAATGTTATTTTCTATTCTATAGTACGATGTGGTCTGTTTGGTTGGTATATAAACCCCGTGTGTTTGAAATAAATGATTCATATCGCAGTGGCTGAGATTGGTGTTCTGGACTTAACAGGCAGGGCTAGGCGGGAAGCAACACCGATAAAGACTCTAGACTGCTCGTACGGGTTTTATGCGTCATCGGTTCGGTCGATGAATCACTGTTCTCTTATTAATGGGCACAAGTGATAATAGTAGTATGTGTACTTTGGAAGCACAGTATACATTAATGGTACAAGATTTCAGGGTCTTAACTAGTGATGCCTGTTGTCCGACTTGATATAGGATCCAAACATTAAAAGTTCTAACTTGTAGTTTGAAGCGAAGTTTCAAAAGATCTGAAACATTATTTTGTAATTTCGAACTATTAGCTTATGTGGCACACGTTGAAGAAGTAGAAGATAGAAAATGAGGGTTGATAGTGGAGATGGAATATTTGATGAAGATAGAATTCCGGGTACAGATATGAGGTTAGCTGTAACTTTCCATCTGCCCATTATTTATTTATTTATTTTAACACATAAGTATAGGTACAGGGAGGCACCAAATACATATGCGCCACACGAATCTCAATTGATTTGTGTGAGGGCTGTGATACTGCCCGGGTGCCCAAACCGAAGCAGGACATCTGCCCATACCGTGGAAGGATTTTTCTTCTTGGGAAACCCAAAGAGTAAACTGGATTAATAGTGGTCGTAGAGACTTAGGAGTGATTGTGTAGCTCCAGAGTAAACTGCGTGAGGCCGGTTAGACAAGGTCTTTCCGTGGCAAGTTTTAAATGTCTTAGCAATATTTTCATATAACTCACCACAGTTAGTAGGATAGCTATCTGTAGACTGACTCGCCAAACACTAAATGGACAGATTTATGAGGTCAGTCATACCTGGTTTTAAGGTGTGTAGAATACCGGCAACCAAAGATATACACATTTTTTTGCATGCACAAAGGCATTGATGAAAGGTAGTGTCTGACTATCTACATTGCTTACACAATCAGCCACTCTATGATTATGTAAATATACACCTCAAAACAAGGTTCATTGAAAATGGTGAGCCACACTAATATCCTCGTATTAAAATCAGTGCTTTCTTTTCTAGTAGCGACAATATTAGGGCCAATAACTAAACACTTTCGACCGTTTTCAGCAGCGTATTAGGTTGAAAAAATTTGAACATCTTTGCTTAGATACTGGACATCAACTTACTTCCAAATGGATTGTCTTTTGACCATAACAGAATTCTTACATATTCTATGCAATGTTCTGGAAGACGAGGAGTATGCGCTATAGTACATAAGGGAAAATTGGTTGGTGGAGGGTATAAGTCAAGTGTACATTCTAGGCATCCAGTTAGGCCATACAGAACAACGAGAACATGTCCTTTGAATCCCTCTGTCCCACCATCAACAAGTGGTATGACAGTGTTTGGATCTGGTTGACCATCTGGATTATAACGAACCAGACTTGCCTATAATACAGAAACGAAAAAAGACAAAAACATTACAGACATTCGACATGCGTAGGCAATTAGAAAATATTTAAAAATCAACCCGTGTGGAAACAATGCGCTGGCTAAATAAAAAAATACCATCTTTGATAGTATCAAATGGGAATAATTTATTATGAATAAAATGCAGTCTCGATACCGATACATCATAAATAATAGTTAAAATATTTGAAGATGAACCAATTCACGTGTTATAAGTCGAAGAGTCATTATCTTACAGAGGTGTCAGTCAGCAATTATGATGATCGATGATAATGTGAAAGTAGAATTTACTTTAAAACATAGTTACATATATTAAGATGAATGATCTGCAAGTATCTTGAGCATGAATTTACACTATATCCGACTGCGATGATGTCTTAATGTATTTATTTAACAAACTACATTTTGATACAACAGAAAGAAGTAAAACGAAGGAAGGTAAGTATAAACATATAAGTGTATACCATCACCTTCGATTCACATTACTTTCTACTTGGCCATTATGACACTATTTAGAATAAACAGATCCCTAACATAACTCTTTTGTCACTACATAGAGTGCTACCATAAACTGAGTCATTTTCGTTTTTCGTCTGCCGACGGAAAATTAGATTTGTCTAAACGAAATCCATTGTAATGAAATAAGTAAAACATAATTATAATGACAATCGCTTTATTTAATGTTATGTTTAGTACGATATAGAATCCTTCGCACATAATACTTAAGTTTTTTTGGTTCTTTATAACCACAAAATATACAAAATTATGCAAATGAACTGAAATTTTTATAAAAGGACATTTTTAAGAACAGTGAATAATATGAATGCATGTTCACTGGGAAAAATTTTCGTTAGGGTCAGACGTTAAGACATTTTCCACCTAAATTATATGTGAAGGACACAGAATTCCCGAAACTTTTTCACTGAAAATAAATTTAAATGTACCTGCATCTTGTCATGTTATAAGATATACGCGGTGGATGATACGAACCTAGTACGTAGTTTGTTTCAAACAATAACGATTGGCAGCTGTTTGAGATATTTATCAACAACTGTGTTCACAGTAACATCAAAAGACTTAACCCCCTCCAGGTAATATCTAATCCGAGCAACACAGGAAAATCATTTTTTAATAGTCCATAAGAATACAGAATAGTATAGGATAAGTAATGTGCAAAAATTTACAAATTGTAAAGGTATCCAGCAATGATAAAACACATAACAGATTTATATGAAGAGTTAAGCGCTAAGTGTTTTTTTTCAATATTTAAGAGAACTGACAGCCCAAAAGAAGTCAGAAGTAGAAATTACGCCGCAATGTGACATTTGACTTAGTTCTCCCCAATCTCCAATAATAGATTATTGCGATTCCAGTACAATGATAAGGTCCTTTTCGTATGTTACATATACAAAACCTATTATATGCTGGTTCTTGTAGACTCATTTTATTAAATATACCTAAACATTTTTATTGAGTAAAACACACCCTTAGCTTGAAAATACCATTGTAAATGCTTAGTAATTAAATATATAAAACAATACATGACACACCAGCATAGAATTAATCCACCGCCGAGCTGTGACTGAATCAAGACCACAAACCACAGCATTAAATTGTTTATAAAACGGCGCACCGAAATCTTGAATTTTATTGTAGTGTGGGACAACTTTGCATGTTGGAATGCGGCGCATGATAAAATCAGCAGCAACATTGGCTTTCGGTTTACCGACATCGTGAGATCGGAACAAAAATTGTCTGTTCAAATTAGAAATATCGATTATGTCCATGTCTATGACCTCCAGATGACAAAACCCCATCATAGCCTACATTTAATAATAGCCGCAAGATGAAAACCTACAAGGTTCTTCAGAAGCTCACAACCCAAACCTCCAGCTCCAATGACAAGGATTTTCACATGTTCTCTAACCATACTTAAGAGCTTGAAATTTTGCGGGATTAAAAATTGCACAAACTTCATTTGACGGCTCGAATTCTGACCGATGAAATGGACCAGAACGTCCAAGAATGCATTTAAGATTGCTCCACTTTTTGTCAGAAATCACCGAAGACATCGTACGCTTATTTTCCGGAATGGTTTCTATTGGACTATTTGTCTGGAAAGTGAAAAGCATACACAAATTTCACTTTAATGGTTAAATTAGCTTGGATGAAAATCTGTTAGAAACAAGAAAAGAAACAATATATTATTTTCCGAGATAAAAGATAAGCTTCGGCAAAAACTAGCAATACGAGCTTTAGAAGCAAGTGTGGGACAGATTATGAGTAACTTCAGCAATAATCAAGTTTATTTTATTCATTTATTTGAACTCATAAATATTGGTACATTATTTATTTATTTATTTATTTGAACACATAAATATTGGTACAGAGGGGCACCAAATATATATGCGCCACACAAAACAATGATAATTTGAAGAGAAGGAGAAAAGAGAAAAAAAAAGTAATGAGCGTGGGGAATTATAAAAAAAAAGGGAGAGAGAGAGAACAATGGTGGGGGAAACGGAAAGGTACAATCAGAAGAGATTTTTCAATTAAGGAAGATACAACCACTTTTTATGAAGAAAGTAAAAGAAGGTTACAGCAGGATCGCCACTGGCTTCTATTCTGAGCCATATCTGATAACGTCTCTAGCCACTGTGTTACACCGTCTCTCGGACCCCAACCAGGGAGTCGTGAAGGACCAACAGAAGCTAGCCCTTTGCAGCTTTCTTTCATACCACGACACCATGTCATATACTGACCACCTCTCCGCTTTTTCCAACCAGTCCCAGAGTCGGCAAATAATGCACGACGAGGAATTCTCTGGGACGACATTCGTAGAACATGTCCAAGCCACCGAAGTCGGTGTTTCAAGATGGTGACACCAATTTCATTATCGTCTCTGTGACCGAACACTCGATGCCGAACCTCTGCATTACTGACATGGTGTTGCCACTGGATGCCAGCAATCCTTCGGAGACAACGATGATCGAACACAGAGAGTCGTCTAACATCCTCAACTCGGAGAGGCCAGGTTTCACAAGCATAGAGCAAAACTGCTCTCACCGTCGCGTTGTAGATCCGACCTTTTACAGCCAGACTAACATCACGAAGGCGCCAAAGATGGCCCAGATTGGCATAAGCCGCTCTGGCTTTCACTATACGAGCATTGATCTCATCACTCACACCACCACAAACAGCACTTATGCAGCTACCTAGATACACGAACTTCTCGACTACTTCAATCTGCTCACCATCCAGAGTGAGTACAGGATTAGAATCCTGCCAGTCTTGTAGAAGTACTTTGCACTTCGAAGGTGCAAAGCACATACCATACCTACGGACATTGATTGCCAACTGATTAAGTGCGGATTGCATAGCTTGGGCATTCTCGCACAGTAAGACAATATCATCCGCATACTCAAGGTCGAGAAGTCTTTCTCCAGGCAACAGATCCACACCACCATTACTTACATCCGTCAGAGCTGTTTCCAGAATGTCATCGATGGCAAAGTTGAAGAGGAATGGTGAGATTGGGCAACCCTGCCTAACCCCACTGCTTGAATGGAATAATGGAGAAAGGTGGTTGTATGCCCTCACTCTGCCTGAGGTGTTTGTGTATAGGGCCTTTAAGATGTTAATAAACTTCTCAGGCACACCCTTCTTCAATAGACAATCCCAGAGAACAGTTCTGTCCAACGAATCGAAGGCAGCCCTGATATCAAGAAACACTACGATTGTTGGCCTTTGATAAGTATGGCGGTGTTCTAACATTTGGCGGAAGGTGAAGATATGATCAATACATCCTCGACCAGAACGAAACCCAACCTGCTCCTCGCGAGTCAATCCTTCTCGGGTCCTGAACAACCTACGAAGTATGACGGAAGCCAATAGCTTGGACACAATCGGAAGTAGACTTATCCCCCGATAGTTGTTACAGGAACAACGTGAACCCTTTTTAAAGATAGGGACAACTATCGACTCATTCCATGACGTTGGTACACTCTCTAGTTCCCAGATCTTTGTAAACAACGTCGTCAATCCCTTAGTCAAAAAATCACCACCATCTTTAAAAAGAGCCGGAGGTAAGTCGTCTGGGCCCGGTGATTTGTAACGTTTCAAGAGTTGGAGTTCCTTGCGGACTTCCGCCTCATTTGGTGGATCAGTCGTCACCGGCCATGGAGGGCAGGACAGTCTGACCGATGTTGCCGGAGCAGCAGGCCAGTTGAACTGCCCTTCAAAGAATTCTGCCCATCGTCCAAGACGTCGATGGATGTTAGTGATTGGCGTTCCGTCATCCTCGCAGATTGTTTCGCTCACACCAAACTTCTTGCTGCCAGTGGCTCGGATGAGTTGGAAGAGCTTCCGGTAATTACCAGATGCAGCTGCTGCTTCCAACTCACTGGCACGCTCCGACCACAAGGCTTCTCGGTCCTTACGCAAGCTTTGCCCGATTTCATTACGTATCAACCTTCGTCTGAGGTCAAACTCACGGTCACCCGGAGTAGACCGACGGGCTTCAATCAGTTGTAAGGAACCAGAAGAAACCCAGTGCTTGTAAGCGGGACGTTTCGCAAACCCACAACAGACTGTACCCGCCATTTTCATGGCGTCATGCAATTGCAACCAATGCTCATCTATACTTTTCGGTGGAATGGTAGCTAGCCTAGAAGCTAGCTCGGTTCGGTACTTACTAGCAACAGAAGTTGCAGCCAGCTTGCTAACATCAATCCTTTGGTGGCGGTCACTTCGTTGTCCACTGAAAAGTAAGGTAAGATTGGCGCAGACCAGAGCATGATCAGATTCCAGATAGGTACTCCAAAAGGAGCGGCAGTCTTTTACACAACCGCGCCAGCGGTAGCTGATCGCGATGTGATCAATCTGAGTCCAGGCTTGAGATGCAGAAGGAGGACGCCAGGTGGCACATCGGCGATGACTGTGCCGAAAGTTAGTGCTAGCCAGAAACAGGTTGTGGTCTGTGCATAGTTGCAGTAGACGTTCCCCGTTATCTGTCCTGCGACCAACGAGTCCCCATCGGCCACCTAAGCGACTCTCTTCTGTGCCTAGACGCCCGACCTGAGCATTCAAGTCTCCAGCTAGTACTACAATATCTGTCGAACGCACTTTCTGGAGAAGATTTTATTTATTTATTTGAACACATAAATATTGGTACAGTGGGGCACCAAATATATATGGTAGAACTCGTCCTTAATTGCATCCGGGCTGCAATCTGTCGAGGCATAGGCGGAGATGACGAAAAGACATCGTTTCTCACGCCGATTTCTTCTCACTTCGATGGAACTTTCTAATCTAACAGCACATAACCGACTGTTAATGGGGATCCAGTCGACTAGTGCTGCCTCAGCTCTTGCGCTTAGTGCGACACCAACGCCAGCAAGACCAGACGAAGATGCCATAGGGTCCCCGGATAAACGCACATAAAACAAGCTTTTTGAAGTGACAGATGGAGAGCGAACTTGTAGTACTTCACCAGAGTCTTGAATACGGGTCTCGGATAGACAACACACATCAATATTAAGACTTTCCAAAGACATAGCCAGTCCTATCTGTTGTCCGACCTGCATAAGTGTGCGAACGTTGAAGGTAGCCAGTTTGAATGGTGCACGCGGTTTCAGAAAAACTGCTTCAGTACTCATGTTCGGTAGTAACATACAATTTTCAACCAGGCAGTGACTCGGGAACGTTTAGATAAAGCTGAATTTTCACCATAGGTGAGCTGCTGTCTAGGTCGAAACGCATATATAAAGTAGGAATAAGAGAGGGTGAATAAATGACGTGGTAGAGTAATAATAATAATAATAATAATAATAATAATAATAATAATAACAATAATAATAATAATAATAACAGTACGAGTTATTTCAATGTTAATCAGATAGAAAGGAATATTTTCCATAAGCGAATTGTTCATCATAGTTTTAGTGAGTGGGCTGGGATACTGCCCGGGTGCCCAGACCGAAGCAGGTGGTTTTCTTAGGGGGCCACACCCCGAGCCTTTGACCTAAAGGTCTAGTCCACAAGGCAGTGGAGCATCGTGAGGAGATGCAGTCCCATGGAAGCCGGTGACCAAAAGTTGGTTCATACGCCATTTGTTCCCGCAGGATACTGGAGCCCATGTGCACCATAGAATTGGGATCCGGTTATAGCGCCGGACATTCGCTTTTCGTCCTCTCATTTTCGTAAACAACACCCCCGCCACGAGAAGGCAGTGAGTAGGACTTCCCTGGCAGAGGCTGTATACGCGTGGCCATGTGAGAGTATTTCGAGAGGGAGGGCGAACCCTCCCTGCTCTCGGCCATACCAGGGCATTTGGGGGCAAATATTGGTACAAGGGGGCACCAAATATATATGCGCAACAATAATCAAGTGTCACTGAATGATTTGTGTGTATTGTCTGAATTACTTGATTTATGATAACAAAGTCATTGATTTTGTGACGAAAATCATGAACAACAATCTACTTCACTAAACAGTAGCATATTCTTAGAGGGCACTGATATTAAAGATGTGACGAACTATTGTAAAGTATCATCTTAGAACTTCAATAAACTGTAAGATTCCCAACTGTTCTCATGCAGCACAGCAATGGTTTGAGCTAAGTTTACCCTTACCATGGCTTGTAAAACTTTGTTTTAGGATCCAGGCAACTGATAACAGCTTAAAGCAATTCAGTAACAAAATACACGCTCGAACATTCGGGTTTGTGGCATTGATCGGTTGAGACCGAATGACATTGACCAGGCTTTAGATCCAATAAAAAGCCAAAAAATAACTCATCAAATCTGGTGAAACGACGTTCGCTTTGCACTTTAGTGACTATATACGGTCACTGTAGATCTATAGAGAATAGGCGACCTAATGGCTTTAGCGATAAGAACAAAAACGAGATAATTAGCTACAAACATGCCAGGTCCTTATAAATGTAACAGCTAAAAAATATAAAATTTTGATAGTAAAGAGAACTCTTTTTGTGATTTTTCACCAGCGATTCACAGCATTTTTCGAAAATGTGTGAACATTTTGCGGGAACTTATTTATTTTGGGGAAAAAATCACGACTTCGAGATATTTTTGGGAGAATATTAGACTTCTTGACTGCATTTTATCAACATTAATGCAGGATAACTAGTGGTTCTGTTCCAAAATTCACCCGAAATCGGCCAATTTAGTCCCAAAGTCGGGAACGTGCGAAGACAAAACGGAAAAAGAATATGAATTTATGAGACATCACGTAAACCACTTATATAGCATTACTTACGATCAAAAACAATACAATCTTGAAGACTTAGCGGTCAGACAGATGTAACAAACAACATCTGGCAGATTCGCTTCTAGCTTGAATGTACCTTAAGCGTGAGAAGTAGTATTTGAGAGAATCTGGAAAAGAAAACGACGGGAAAAGTGAGCCGATTATCCAGTAGACACATAGAATGTACTTACATTTAATATTGAAAGCAACAGATAACAATTATAAATAACACAAGAGTAAAATCAATACAATCTGATAAGCGAAACCATGAGTTGATAGCGTTAGGTTTCGAATACGTTACTCAGATATAACAGTAACAATAAACCCAATAATCAATATCGTCGTGACAAACCGATTGGTTTCTCTGCTGTTTATGTACAGCTTCAAGTCTTGAGAGACATGAGAAGTAGTCTTCTCATTCGACTGGACTAGCCATACTCATATCAGTGGTCATTCAGGTCAATAACCGAAGGGCAATAACCATGTTGAATTCCAATATATTTCCCCGAATTTCCTTGTTATGAGCTTATACAAATCACTTAATTGATATGTGCTCACTTCCTGTTGCTTTTGTACAATTCCATGTGTTTAATTGTCCTATTGGGGGGTATTCTAGCCAGTATTTATAGCCATGTGTGGCAGTTACTTGTGGATGTGTATACAATGCAGTACAAAATAGTCCAAATGGTTTTGGATGAAATAGAAGAGGCTTTTTCTTAGCAGGCTTCTGTACCTAGTAGCAGTGGATTACGGAAATCTCCAGGTAGAAACCTAGGTATATTATCGACAAAAAAGGAAAAAAATCGTAGTTAGATACTATCCTTAATCCTTAATGTTCTGTCATGTTTTCTTATAAAAGACTCATGATAAGTCATCTAGAATAGCTCAGTATCTGACTACTCTTACGAAGTAGGTGTGTCTACAGTCCGTTCTTCAGTGTTGAGTCGCCAGTTCCAGAGTGTTACCCCTAAGCTTTGTGTTGGGACTAAGCTTAAATAGGTGTTTAGGGGGGTTCAGAAGTATTTAGAATGCTGTAAGCCATTAAGTCACCTCTAAGACACCTGTTCTTTAATGAGTAAAAGTTCAGTGATTGGAGCCGCTCTCCATAAGACCTGAATTTGAGTCCTTGAAGTGATTTCGTGGCTCGCCGATGGTTACGCTCCAGGGCGTCCTTATCCTTTTGGAGTGAAGGACAAAATACTACGTTTCCGTACTCTAAATGAGGACGAATAAGACTGTTGAAGATTGTGTGCAAAGTTCTTCCGTCGAACTGGCCAAAAATGCGCTTCAATGTTACCGGTGCATGGTTTGCTCGGAAGGTGTTTTTGTTGCACTTAGAACAAGACTTCGAACCATAGTACACCACCACTCATAAATCTCTTTCAACTTGGGATACTTTTAGAGGCGGGTTGCCTAGGTTGTTGCTATAGCCGCCAATGGACTACTTTACATTTGGAAGGTAATTCTGTTGTCATTTTCTCAACTTTGAAGTCGAGTCAGACCCACATGAAGGGTCAGTTTATCCCCTTGATCGTGTATCTCTCTCCAAAGTTTCACACCATGAGCAAAAGAGAATAAGTCTGAAAATACCTATTGTGGAAGATCGTTTACATAAGTAAAGAACAGAAGAGAACCTAGTAATGAACCCTCGAGGACCCCACTAGGACATTACATAGAGTGAGAGAAAGTGAAGTCAACCCTGACCTTAAAATGTCGATTTTCTACACACCAAGTGAGCTTATTATTTAAAGGCGATTTTATACCCAAGCGTATATGGTTGATCCTATCAAACGTTTTTGATAAGTCAAGGTAAATGAAGTCAATCCTCCCCTTGCAATCAAGGTTGGTTATTTATCTGTCAACCACAGTCAAAAGGTTAGTTGTTCAAGAGTAACCTTTTACGAAACCGTGCTGACGGGGTGAAAAGAAGTCTATGGATGATAAATCGTCGTGTATACCGTCGAATATTAGGGACTCCGTAATTTCCGATCGTATAGAGAGCGCTACGGTTTCTGGATACCACCATCTACATACTACCAGGCAGGAGGTTGATGAATTGCAATTTAAAGATAATAAATTAATGATTCGAGTTATAAAAGATGATTGTTTCAAGATACGTAGATAGTTTACTTAATCGACAATGTGTAAAAAGATAGAACTGAAAAAATAAAAGGGGAAAGAAGGTGATAGCAAGAGATATAGGAGGTGGTTGTCGGTTATACAGTAATGACAGCCGTGGTAGTTTAGGAGATATGTATTTGACACGGCTGGCCTTAGAGGGGTATGATAATCCATGGGTAAGTACGTGTGCAGAAGAAAATAAATCCCTCAAATAGATGGTTCATCAGGTTTTTGACATTGATGCTAAACAAATTATTTTTACTCGACACGTCTAGCCGAAGGCTTCTAGCCACTCATCCTCACCAGATCACGATATGGTACGTCACATTACACATCACTTGCAACTGCTAGCCAGCTTAGATTAATATAGATTAATATAAATATATCGATAGCTTTTCAAATATATCTTCAAACGACCTTACTTCTGACTTCTCATTTTACTGGGTTGGAATAGTTCGGTCATAAAAGTGTTACGTATAATAGCGTTATCAAAATCCAAATACCTGCGGCATCTTTGGTGGTGAGGCTCACGTGATCTGATACACCAAATGTAAACTATGAGTCTGTTCCTTGTTGGAACACTAGACTTCATTTTTCAAATTTTCATTTATACCTAGTGCGATAACGCTTTCATATTTTTGCCCAATATTATAGTATATCTTCATCATGATGGAATAGAGACTCATGATATTTAAGATAAAAACTCTTTCGCTCCTCACCATTCAGCTAAGCCATTTCGGCGCAATAACATAGAAGTCTTTTTCTTCTACGCAGAAGCTGACTTCAGCGAGCACGGCGTGGCTGACCTGAGTGAGAGATTTCCCGCAGTAACGAAAGCAATACGGCGCGATTTTAACAGGTACATCACACCTGCTATTTTTACTAGTGATGTTTTGGAACCTTACTGAGGCTATCCTTAAACGGGGGGACCCAACTGACCGACAACATTTACACCAACTCTTCGACAACATCGGACGTAGAGAGAGTCAATGTGGTTACTGTTCGTTTAATCTTCATCAACAGCTTACCATTGTTTCTAGACAGGAACTGGCTGCTTACATGCAAAGCTTAAGTTCAAGACAAACAAACACTATACCTAACCGTAGTGGTCTAGACATCAGCGTGGTTATAAGTTCTGCATATCACTTACTAAATCACAAAAAATTGCAGTTACTGCACCGCAGTGTGCATCAGTTTTCAGTCCTTGACTTCTACACAAAAATTATCCCAACAAAATCCACCATGTATGTACCTTGTTGACTTATATGCATCACTTGAGAGTATTTATCGGTAAATGACGAAATCTAAACTTTTCGGATACCTTTTACCAGTCGTTTTTTATAATAAATGTGATATTCTATGCCAAGTTCAGGTGTATTCTGCAGACGTTCTGAGCATCAAATTACCGACTGTCATGAGAGGATGAGTCAATGTGCTCGATGATGTGACCAACACGAAAACTCTTGTAGATTATTTAGTCACACTATGACAACTCTGTAATTGCGGAAAGGGTCCATTATTCCAGTAGGATAGATCCACGTGCTAGTAGAAACATAGACCATAATCCTTCAGATATCGATATCATATATATTGTTAATGTAGTCGAAAAATATCCGATCTTTTTCGACATAGTCTTCCACAAGATATCTTATGTTACTGTGGTGTGTGCTACTGATGTCTACAGGTATAAGTAATATGTATCACCAATAGAAAGTGGAGTATCTGGAGGAAGGATAAGAAGGTTGATAAAAGAAAACGAGAGCAGAGGATGATTGCTGTAGTAAAGTAGGAACAATAAAGTCTGAGACGATTGATTTACATTTTGCGAATGAAGTATTTACTGTATGGTTCTCAGTTTTCACTAAGAGATCCTGTAGTTTTGCGTTCGAATACATTTAATTGATCCCGCTATTGTTCTCGTTCACTATGCTACTACTACTACTACCTCAATATACTCCTGAAATCCCCCGTTTTCCCTCTTCTGCGATTCACATATTTATATAGGGGTTTCGGCCGTTATACAGGCCTTCAAGGAGCTTTAATCCGCACGGCAGAAACAGTAACGTTTCGCGCTTCTGATTTTAGAAGAAGGAATGCTCAAAAATCCCCTCAAATGGTTTCCTTGGAAAATATTGTTATCTATTTGTTCTTTTGCTTCGTCGTGTGCACTAATTTCTGCTCAGGGCTATTGCAACCACGTTCTATGTTCTTATCACTTGTCGCCTAGATCTTTGTGATATACGTTGCACACACGATGCCTTAAAAATTTGCTAGACACATGCAGCGTTGCTTACGAGAATGTTAGAAGTTAACGTTGAACCTTTTAGTGCCTGCTAGGTTCTCTTCTTTCGTAGCATATATTCACTTACTTTGATTATTTTTCTTCCTGGAAACTTACGTCTTGCCTACTTCCACTTTAAATTGTTTCAAATTACATCCTTTAGTCCACTTAGTAACATGCACAGAAATAGCGTTCTCATCAGTACTTACACTATAATTAAAATACCTTCTAGTAGATGTCTTAATAAAATGCGTCGAAAAAACGCGTACTTATCTACAGGTTTGTAAGAAAGCCTATTCTATCACTTCAAAGTAACATGTGTGACACGGGTCACTCGACTTGAACACTATAACTAAATCACGTACTTAGTAGCGAGGATTACACTCCTATCCATTTTGCCGCTAAAAGTAAGACCCATAAGTAGAGAAGAAACGGGAGAAAATGACGTCCGAAACTCCTAATTACATAACAACGGGGACTGTATTGCATGGTCATCACTAAGTTTAGCCAGTAAATTGTAATTTGAATATAATTTCTGTGGTAGCTTAGTCCACTACGGTTGTAATACTAAAGAATCTATGGAGTACTATGGATTCATGTCAAGTCACCCCGTCCATGTTTCCAT